TTTTATCTTGACTAGATAATGTGCTGTGTTAGGTGACATGTGTTTTATCTTGACTAGACAATGTGCTGTGTTAGGTGACATGTATTTTATCTTGACTAGATAATGTGCTGTGTTAGGTGACATGTGTTTTATCTTGACTAGACAATGTGCCGTGGTAGGGGATTTGTACGTATACTGTATCATTACTGAACAATGTGTTGTGGTAGTGGACATATATATATTTGCTTTGTAGAACATAAGTATGCTTGTTGATGGATAAGTCTTCAGATTCAGACACATGGTGTTTGTTAAATAGAGAAGTGTTTTGCAGAAGTACTATTATTAGCATGCCTTGACCTAAGTCACCTAGCCGGTAAAACAGAAGTGGCATATATTGCCAAGGAGACACCGATGGTGATGTACATCAACACTCACGCTGCCTTGGAACAGATGAGACAGAAGGCAGAAAAGGAGAAAACACGTGGACCAAGGGTAAGAATTCAGATTCATTTTACTTCTGCCCAGGTAATTAAATTTAAGGATAGTTTTGATGACAATCGTTTTCAGTTGACAAGGGATAACAGATGTATTGAAGATGTATCTCTCTTTTGCTCTTATAATGATTTCTTTATCTTGTTCTGATTCTATTGATGGACATATCCATTGAAAAATATAGAAATTGGTGATATTTGGAAACTCTTTTCACAACTTGTGGGTGCCAAAAAATATCCAACGAAAAGGGTCAGTTAACATGTATGTTTTATGCTTCAAATTTTTTTTTTTTTAAATCTGCTGATGTACTTATATTTGCTGTAGTAACAAATTCTCCACTAAATTTCCTGTTGTATTTGATCATTTTTAGCTCACCTGGTCCGAAGGATTTAGAGGAATAGCTTTAATATCCTTTTTCTTCCGTTGGGATGAAGGTATTTTGACCATATTTGAACAGTAGCATCCTATGGGGAAGGGAAATCAATTTTATATAAATTGTGGGTCTGACCTGCCTGGGGCCAGAGGGGAGGGGCCCAATAGGGGTAATTTAGCAAATTCTATAAAATTCTTCTTCTGTAGGAATGACAGGATTTTGTCAAAATTTTGGTCTTAAGCATTCTTTGGTGAAGGGGACTATATTTTGTATAAGCGTTGGGTCTGACCCCCTGGGGAAGAGGGGAAGGGACCAATAGGGGAAACATAGCAAATTCTTTAAAATACTTCTTCTTTTGTAGGAACGACAGGATTTTGTCCAAATTTGGGACGAAACACCCTTAGGTGAATTCGAACCAATTTTGTATTACCTGTGGGTTTTAACCCCCTGGGGCAGAGGGGCAGGGCCAAATAGGGAAAATAGAAAAATAGCTTTAAAATCCTTCTTCTTTAGGAATGACAGGATTATGTCCATATTTGGTCTAAAGCATCCTTGGGTGAAGGGGAACTAATTTGGATCAACGATGGGTCTGATCCCCACCCCACCCCACTGGGGGCAGAGGGGCGGGGCCAAATAAGGAAAATAGAAAAATATAGCTTTAAAGTCCTCCTTTTCCTGAAGGAATGACAGGATTTTGTCCAATTGCACATAAATATAACCCCTGACTAACCATATTCATGTAATACATGTACAGCAACATCTGGCTATTTCAACTTCAATTTTGCTAACATTTCCAGGAGAGCGATACAGGCCCTCTGGGCCTCTTGTTTGTTTCTAAGTTTGAGTTAATGTTTGTTGACCCCTGAAAGGATGCCTTCTAACCTTGAGCTTACTTTAACAGGTAATGGTGGTAGGACCCACCGATGTCGGTAAGAGTACCCTGTGCCGTCTTCTCCTGAACTATGCGGCTAGGCTGGGACGTGCACCAATATTTGTGGACCTGGACGTGGGACAGGTGAACATTTATACACTCATCTTAATTGTTGCTTATCAAAACTCTGGATTTTATTTCAGGAAACCTTTTTGTCATCAGAGAATTCTCTCAAATTTACCATTCTCATTCACCCCTGTATTTCAACAATGGACTAGGATAACCTTTGATTAGTGGCAGTCCAAATGTGTCATTAGGTGTCTATAAGTAAATTTAAACCATATCTTTTTAATTTTCCCTGTTTAGCTTTTCTGCAGTTTTCTCAGAGTTTTGATTTAATTTCTTGATATAAGAAAACATTTATTTTTTTTCAAAATAAGATGTACTCAAAGATAGATGGGTTAACTTGTCTGTCTGTATTAAGAGTACAAGTCTTTGTATCCATAACTATGATAAGAACTTGTACCACAAGGAATTTTTAAAGTCTATTGAGATTGACAGTCCTGTATGTCAGCCCTGTGTACCCTGGAAACCTGTATTGTTTTACTTATCATTCCATTCTCCTCAGACGGCTAACAAAGTGTTTTCCCAGAAGCGACCTGTTGGCATTCATTGTCTAATTTATTTACATTTCTGGTGTTCAGCCCATAGTAAACCTAACAACCACAAATGTTGTTTAAACCAAACACAGCAATAACTTTTACACATGAATGTTTTGCAATCAGAAACTGTTTTGGTCTTTCCTAAAAGTAACTAAAAGGACTAATTGACTGATCGACCGAGCTACCGGGTCAAGGAAACATCCTGATCCAACTGTACTACAGTCATATCTTCTCAATATATATACCAAATAACCACAGTGCTTTGGGACAGGAATCTTTAAAATGTCAAATGTATCATGAACTAAAAGAATCCACCCAGAAAGAGGATTTTTTGTTGTTGTTTTGAGCATCCAGAAATAGATTGAATGCATCTTTTTAACATTAATGATGATTCTCACAGATTTACAACCACACATCACGGAGTATGTCTTTATTTTCTGTTCTTAGAAATCCATTCAAAGTACATACCACTGTCTGTATAAGTGGATTCTGTCCAAATTAAGTCCCTGTCCCATCCAGTTTAGACAGGTTGCGCTAGAGTTCCTGCAGTTTATTTACTTTTTTTGGACTTGTTTCACATTCTGAAGTGTAGATTAGGGTCCCACCTAATAAATTGGTATAATGAACTTGTGTCAGAACTAGTTGACTTCCCTTAAATTGTTGACTAATTACAAAATCAATATTAATATCTGTTTTGTTCACTTTTAGGGAGATATTTCTATACCCGGAACATTAGGTGAGTACAACCTAACACAAAATATCACTATTTTCAAAGAGCTTGATATCTTAATGGTTTGTGTAAAAGATGAGTTTGTATAACATTAGAAAAAAAATCATCAGTAAGTTTTTTTTGGTATGAAAATGTTTATTTTTCTCTTAATTAACACAATCTGGGCTCATATTATTCATGAAACCGTTCTCATGCTCAAACTCGGATTCTGTGCTCAAGCCTTGTGAATCTTACTGTAGTGATACATGTACAGCCAGTGTTATTACATACCTGGTGAATCTTACTGTAGTGATACATGTACAGCCAGTGTTATTACATACCTGGTGAATCTTACTGTAGTGATACATGTACAGCCAGTGTTATTACATACCTGGTGAATCTTACTGTAGTGATACATGTACAGCCAGTGTTATTACATACCTGGTGAATCTTACTGTAGTGATACATGTACAGCCAGTGTTATTACATACCTGGTGAATCTTACTGTAGTGATACATGTACAGCCAGTGTTATTACATACCTGGTGAATCTTACTGTAGTGATACATGTACAGCCAGTGTTATTACATACCTGGTGAATCTTACTGTAGTGATACATGTACAGCCAGTGTTATTACATACCTGGTGAATCTTACTGTAGTGATACATGTACAGCCAGTGTTATTACATACCTGGTGAATCTTACTGTAGTGATACATGTACAGCCAGTGTTATTACATACCTGGTGAATCTTACTGTAGTGATACATGTACAGCCAGTGTTATTACATACCTGGTGAATCTTACTGTAGTGATACATGTACAGCCAGTGTTATTACATACCTGGTGAATCTTACTGTAGTGATACATGTACAGCCAGTGTTATTACATACCTGGTGAATCTTACTGTAGTGATACATGTACAGCCAGTGTTATTACATACCTGGTGAATCTTACTGTAGTGATACATGTACAGCCAGTGTTATTACATACCTGGTGAATCTTACTGTAGTGATACATGTACAGCCAGTGTTATTACATACCTGGTGAATCTTACTGTAGTGATACATGTACAGCCAGTGTTATTACATACCTGGTGAATCTTACTGTAGTGATACATGTACAGCCAGTGTTATTACATACCTGGTGAATCTTACTGTAGTGATACATGTACAGCCAGTGTTATTACATACCTGGTGAATCTTACTGTAGTGATACATGTACAGCCAGTGTTATTACATACCTGGTGAATCTTACTGTAGTGATACATGTACAGCCAGTGTTATTACATACCTGGTGAATCTTACTGTAGTGATACATGTACAGCCAGTGTTATTACATACCTGGTGAATCTTACTGTAGTGATACATGTACAGCCAGTGTTATTACATACCTGGTGAATCTTACTGTAGTGATACATGTACAGCCAGTGTTATTACATACCTGGTGAATCTTACTGTAGTGATACATGTACAGCCAGTGTTATTACATACCTGGTGAATCTTACTGTAGTGATACATGTACAGCCAGTGTTATTACATACCTGGTGAATCTTACTGTAGTGATACATGTACAGCCAGTGTTATTACATACCTGGTGAATCTTACTGTAGTGATACATGTACAGCCAGTGTTATTACATACCTGGTGAATCTTACTGTAGTGATACATGTACAGCCAGTGTTATTACATACCTGGTGAATCTTACTGTAGTGATACATGTACAGCCAGTGTTATTACATACCTGGTGAATCTTACTGTAGTGATACATGTACAGCCAGTGTTATTACATACCTGGTGAATCTTACTGTAGTGATACATGTACAGCCAGTGTTATTACATACCTGGTGAATCTTACTGTAGTGATACATGTACAGCCAGTGTTATTACATACCTGGTGAATCTTACTGTAGTGATACATGTACAGCCAGTGTTATTACATACCTGTTGAATCTTACTGTAGTGATACATGTACAGCCAGTGTTAGTTCATACCTGTTGAATCTTACTGTAGTGATACATGTACAGCCAGTGTTATTACATACCTGGTGAAACTTATTGTAGTGATACATGTACAGCCAGTGTTATTACATCCCTGGTGAATCTTACTGTAGTGATACATGTACAGCCAGTGGTATTACATACCTGTTGAATCTTACTGTAGTGATACATGTACGGCCAGTGTTATTACATACCTGTTGAATCTTACTGTAGTGATACATATACAGCCAGTGTTAGTTCATACCTGTTGAATCTTACTGTAGTGATTCATGTACAGCCAGTGTTATTACATACCTGGTGAATCTTTCTGTAGTGATACATGTACAGCCAGTGTTATTACATATCTGGTGAATCTTAATGTAGTGATACATGTACAGCCAGTGTTAGTTCATACCTATTGAATCTTACTGTAGTGATACATGTACAGCCAGTGCTATTACATACCTGGTGAATCTTCCTGTAATGATACATGTACAGCCAGTGCTATTACATACCTGGTTAATCTTACTGTAGTGATACATGTACAGCCAGTGCTATTACATACCTGGTGAATCTTCCTGTAATGATACATGTACAGCCAGTGCTATTACATACCTGGTGAATCTTCCTGTAATGATACATGTACAGCCAGTGCTATTACATACCTGGTTAATCTTACTGTAGTGATACATGTACAGCCAGTGGTATTACATACCTGGTGAATCTTACTGTAGTGATGCATGTACAGCCAGTGTTATTACATACCTGGTGAATCTGACTGTAGTGATACATGTACAGCCAGTGTTATTATATACCTGTTGAATCTTACTGTAGTGATACATGTACGGCCAGTGTTATTACATACCTGTTGAATCTTACTGTAGTGATACATATACAGCCAGTGTTAGTTCATACCTGTTGAATCTTACTGTAGTGATTCATGTACAGCCAGTGTTATTACATACCTGGTGAAACTTATTGTAGTGATACATGTACAGCCAGTGTTATTACATACCTGGTGCATCTTACTGTAGTGATACATGTACAGCCAGTGTTATTATATACCTGTTGAATCTTACTGTAGTGATACATGTCCAGCCAGTGTTATTACATACCTGTTGAATCTTAATGTAGTGATACATGTACAGCCAGTGTTATTACATCCCTGGTGAATCTTACTGTAGTGATACATGTACAGCCAGTGCTATTACATACCTGGTGAATCTTCCTGTAATGATACATGTACAGCCAGTGCTATTACATACCTGGTGAATCTTACTGTAGTGATACATGCACAGCCAGTGTTATTACATACCTGGTGAATCTTACTGTAGGGATACATGTACAGCCAGTGTTATTACATACCTGGTGCATCTTACTGTAGTGATACATGTACAGCCAGTGTCATTACATACCTGGTGAATCTTACTGTAGTGATACATGTACAGCCATTTTTATCATAACTGGTAAATCTAACTGTAGTGATACAGTTTTCAGGCCAAGGAATACAAGGTCCTGTATTCCTATGATAATACAAGTTGTTGTATTACCCCACTAGACACTCTTTGGTTGTTATCAACAAACTGGAAAAATTAAGGTTTCTGAACATTTCGCCCTTGACATCGTTTTCTCTGCATTGTTGGTTCAAGATTTTGGGGAAGAGATTGAGCATTGATGTAACGTAATATTAAATTACTATGTTTTCTTTTAGAGAAAATGTTATATGCATATACTACCCAGATTTTGTTTAAGCTGATATGTTTCAATTTCAACGAATGTTCAAGACAGACACGCTCAATAATACCTTATTAAATTTAGGGGGTGGGGGAGGTGTAATATTATGTTTAAATAGATACTTTTATATACCAAACTTTTGATAAACTTTAAAGCCAAATAAATAAATAATTGTTCCTTTTGTATGAATTTTCAGCAATATCATTGTTTTAAATATTCTAAAAAAAATACAATTTATAGAAAGGTATATAAGTTTTGTACTTAGTCTTAGAACATCATATAGGTATGTAATAAAAACAACAACACATGTGTCCCTCTGACATCACAGATTACATTAGGTTAACCCTTTCACCCCTATGTAACATCAGTAGACTCTACCATGCATTGATATTGATAAGTCCATTATGGTCTACAGTGGTGTAAGGGTTAATTGGTATATTTCACTCTGGCTAAACCCATGTGAAATACCTGCTATGTATTGATACGGTCTGAGATATTAGATGAAAACTTGTGTAGTATTATGTGTTAATTGTGTTGTGTATGATTTACAACCAGGCAGTATAGTGGTAGAAAGGCCGTCAGACATTGAGGAAGGATACAACCTTAATGCTCCCGTCGTGTTCCACTTCGGAAGCTCCAGTCCTTCACACAATACACAACTCTTCAAACTTCTGGTGTCAAAGATGGCCGACACAGTTAACCAAAAATGTGACCAGAGCAAAAAATGTAAGTTATAATGTAAAAGTAGCTATTTTAGTGTTTAATATCATAGTGCTAAATAAAGATAACCATGGAAAATAAAGTCTGTTTTCCTAAATCAATTAGTTCCCCTTGATAGCTTTGGCATAGGATCATGATGCATGTAACCTTTTGTTGCTTATGTGCTGATAGACGAACCTTTACAATATTTGTTTTGGTTATCTCTTTATTTCTATACACCAGTCTTCATAGAAAGTGTTACTGCATGTTATAATATTTGCTATTTCTTTTTTTGTTGAAGTTCTGAGCAAATAAATGTAAACTTGAACTTGTTATTTTGAAGAAGGAAAAAGTTTTATGTAAATAATTAGTTTGTATTTAACTGTTACTTTGTAAATTTCTTTTTTTTCTTTTAAAGTAAAACAAAATATATTATAAAGTTTTATAATATAAGTTCCTTAATCAAATGGTGTTACCCCGTATTCATTTTATACACATGATAGCAGCAAGATTGGAAAAAAATGAATAAGGGTTCAAGGACCATTTCATGAAGCCTCCTTAACTTGAATCCTCCCTCACATTGAAGAAATCCCTTTAATATTAAAGTCCACATCAACCTAGACTTAAATCACTTTGGAGCTCCTTAGTAAGTTAACAAAGGTTCATGAAACAGGTCCAATTAATCTGCAGATCATATTTTCACAATCACGTTGTTGACCCACAAAATTGCAAAAATATCATCCCTGCGGAAATATCCCGCTATACAGTATCAAGTTTTGTTGTAAACCGTTAATGTTTGTAGTATAATCATTATGACTGTACTATTGAAACGTGTACACAGGTTGTTCGAGTGGGGTCATCATCAACACAGGAGGCTGGGTGAGGGGAGCTGGCTACGACATGCTCAAACACATTGCTGGCTGCTTCGAAGGTATATAATGATAAATCCTAAATTCTTTCTCAATTTCCACTGGTAAGTTTGTAGTGTCAGTGTAGTCCTGTCCTCTCCTATTTAAATTAATTCATCAATATTTTTTGGGAATGTATTTTCATTTGGAATAAATCGGCATTTAATCAATGAAATAAGGACTTGATTAACATGGCCTCTCACAAACATGACATCACAATGGAATGCCACAACTCACACTGTCTAAACAATATAAGAAAAAGAAAAATCTGCAAATACATCCAAAAGTAATTTGATTAAAACATGGAGTATGTGATCAAAATAATAAAAGTAATAGGTGACATTACAAGCCTTTGAAGGTCTGGTATAAAGCAAGGACTATGTTACACCAGGAAACTTAATGTTGTGACTTTATTTTGTAGTTGATGTTATAATCGTGCTAGACCAGGAAAGACTGTACAATGAATTAAAGCGCGATATGCCAGACTTTGTGGAGGTGCTTCTTCTACCCAAGTCTGGAGGGGTAAGCTGATACTGTTGTATTTATGGTTGACTAGTCCCATTCTGCCATAATGTTTTACAAACAGACATGTAAAAGTAACATGACTATAAAATATTTGGAACCGTTTTAAATACAACTACATAACTGTACATAATAACGCTCATTGTCCAGTTATACAGCACTATTTTTGATCTAGAATGTTTTTTGAAGAATCTATATCATATAGTAATGTTTGATATTTACAACACAAATGATTGTCCATCTGAACAGGTGGTGGAGAGAAATAGTAGTGTGAGGGCTGATGATCGGGACTTAAAGGTCCGGGAGTACTTCTACGGCCTACGCAAGGACAACAAAGACAGCTTCTACCCCCACCCTCTACACATCAGCTTCAACGATGTTAAAATTTACAAAATAGGAGGTGAGTGTTGCGTTTCTCAAACTAGTGCTTGGACATAAATATGCAAAAGATATTTTTCATGGTGGAAGGGGGTGGGGGATGATGGTATAGTGACACCCACGCTTCAACGATGTTAAAATTTACAAAATAGGAGGTGAGTGTTTCATTTCTCAAGCTAGTGCTTGGACATATTTATGCAAAAGACATTTTTCATAGTGGGAGAGGGTGGGGGAGGATGGTTTGGTGACACCCACGTTTGTCCCGTCCCATCATGATTTGCTATAATGGGAGGCACGGCAGTCTAGTGGTAGGGCACCGGGCTCGTGACCGAAGGGTTGCAGGTTCGAGTCATGGCACCACACTGTATTGTATCTTTGAGCAAGATACTTTACTCTGCTTGTTTTAGTCTACTCAGCTGTAAATGAGTATGTGGTTGGGTAGTGCTAGAATTGTAGAATGCTAACTGAGTGCCGTAATGGCAGTACTGGCTGTATGTGAGAACAATATTGGCTGGTTGCAAAGGCCCTATAACAACAGATAATAATTTGTGAACCGCTTTGAGACGACCTGCAAACTAGGTTGTGATAAAGCGGTATATAAGAACCTCAAATTATTATTATTATTATTATATGATGTTCTTAGAGATTCTGATCAAACTTAATACAAAGGTCAAGTATATAAGAATACCTCAAATGAGTTTGTATTTGAGGGTTCCAAGGTTACAGTTACTATTTATAAAAATAGAAGATTTGTCAACTTATTCAGTGTAATCACTCTAGCAACTTTATTTTTTTTATCAGATTTTGATCAAAACTTTATACAAAGGTCAAGTTTTGAGAATACCTGGAATAAGCTCCAAGGTCACCATAACTAATTATAGAAGTTTGTCAAATAGTGACACCATTTTGTATGTGTGCAGAGGTAGCCATGTCTTACACACATTTCCTAGTTTTATCTATATTAAGTGTTGTCTAGAACAGAAACAGAATTGTTTGTCTCTTTTATGACTCCAGGCCAGATACAGGCCTTTTTTGCATTTTAGTTACGTTATGATATTTGTGCAGGTACAGAATTTTAATATTTTGTTTCAGTCTCTTATGCAGGCCCTTAACACCTTTTGTTTGAATTTACCTGTAACACACTTTGTTCATATATTTTGTTATGGCCTCTTTCTAAACACCACAGTTAGACTCAGGCCCTTTGTTAAAGGGTTCCATCAGGTTTAAATGAATTTCCATCATTAGGACTAATATGAGTTATAAAATGTTTGTTTCAATAACTTTCTTCAGATCCATTCCATATAAAACACATCTTGTGATGCCTCTTGACATCTTTAGAATACACCAGCTCAGACACAGGCCCTTGACACTATTTGTATATAATTCCAGCTCCCGCCCTGCCAGACTCCTGTCTACCTTTGGGGATGAAATCCCAGGACAATATGCTAAAACTCGTCCCTGTTTCACCAAGTAAGTACATCTGTCTGTCATGGGATTCATGTCAACTTCCTTTTTCACTCTGAATAAAAAAACTCTTGTTGAAATTCTGTCATACACAGATTTTCTCTTTATAAAAAAAATATAATTTTCCATACAAAATTTTCAACAATATTTATATGTATAGTGTTAATGATTAACTGGCTATTTTGGTTTTTACAGAATGTTTATTTGTTAAAACTTAGAGAATATAATCTGTCTGGTTTAATGTCGTACAGGTGTATTATATAATTGTCAGTGTGTTATCTGAACTGACAGGTATACATATCGATGTTACGTTGTTTAGTTTTTGTAATAAATATATATTTACAGCTTAGTCAAGTGTTCAAAACCCCAGTGCAGCTGATGACCAATAGGTTGTTGCACATTATGAAAACAAACTTTTCATTCACTATAACATGTTTCAACGTATTGTATTTGTTCTTTATATATGTTGCATTTTTGCTTTACCAGGTATTTGAAAAGCTTAAAATATTTTGAGTTTCCATGATTCAATATACGCAAAAGGTTTTCAATTGAATTGCACAAAAAAAAAATGAAGAATATCCAAGGTGCTGATATATAAAATTGGCTGAAAATTATTTTTAAAATACAAAATATCATTTTGCCAGGAAAGAGAGTATACTTAACAAAAGATATAGGTTCTGTTATAAATTTTTGGAAAAAGGCTGCTATTTTAGCAATTTAAATAAGCTTTTCATCAGGTTTTTAATTTGAAGTACACTAGCTACTTTTTGGTTCGTGTATTTTTGATCTGTCTGGTACACTAGGTACATGTATTCTGTATAATTTTGATCTTTGTTGTGCACTAAGGCAGTATTTAAATTAACATTTGTTTCCGACAGGTAACGGCCTACTACACCACGTTCTGAGTATCAGTATGGCTACTAGCATGGAGGATAATATTCTGGAGTCAAATATTCTAGGACACGTTGTCATGTAAGTCACCACAGAAACCGTACTGGTCAGGGTCAGCTGGCTTTAAAATCAGTCTGTAATTTGTCAATTTAATTTAAGACACCTGGCCGAAACGATTTAAGAATGCCCATCTTATGTGTTGTATAAAAATGTTTGTTATAATTTTAAAAGTTTGCTTGTTTTTGTAATGAACATTTGTTTTTGATATAGATGACTGCATCTGTTTATCAATTTTAAGCTGGATGTGCTTTCTTTATGCATATTTCATACAACTTTGATTTCCAGTAACTAGATGCTACTTTTTGAGGTTTTAGGATAGATTGGTCTGTAGTCATACTATAATTACCAGATGTTATGTTTTTGAATCGGTTGACCCAAGCTTTTGTCAGGATGTTGAAATCTGATCAAAATAGAAAAAAATGTTTTGAATAGCTTGGTACGTGTTTGTAGTGATACCTATTTACCTGTTATCAATTTTTAGGTTTTGAGATAGTTTAGGCAGTGAAGCTGCACTTTCCTACCAGATTTTATTTATTTTTCAGTACTGGTGTGGACATGGAAAAACAGATGTTTACAGCGCTCTCACCCTCAGCCGTCACTCCTCCTCGTAACATCTGGCTGATGTCCGAGATCCAGTTTATGGACATTGATTGATCGTTTCCCAGTATTTTTTGGATAAAGAGAAATAACATTCCAGCTGCAACAAAAGACAAGAAACAACAATACGTCAGCTATATAAAGTGGCCACTAGCCTTTATTTATATCCAACACCAGGAACAATGCGTCAGCAATTTTACCTGACTGTTTTGGGTTAAGAGGCATATCTTGTTGTTTGGAAAGTTCAACTGGTCACAACCAATGGCTGTCTGTGCATGCCCGTTGAACATCGTGAAGTAGATGGAGGTCGTGATGGTGATTACTATATATACACATCCAACAAGTTCCAGTGTATAGAAACATCCAGCATGTTGTTATAGTAGAGAAACATCCAGCATGCTGTTATAGTAGAGAAACATCCAGCATGCTGTTATAGTAGAGAAACATCCAGCATATTACAATGTCATTGCCATTTTTCCAATAAAGATGGACAGACTTGAATTCATTAAATTGAATCCAGATTCTTGATCAGACTTCATATGCTCATAATATAATGATTAAATAAGGACTCCATTCATTGATTTTGTATACACCTGTGAAGCAGAGCATATTATGCTATCATGCTTTTCATTTGTTCGGTTGTCCATCTGTCTGTTCATGTTATAACATTTTCCTGTAGTCCAACAGTTCTCATATTTTACACATGCCACAGTATCATATTAAATTGGCATATCATAAAACCGGGGTCCTGATCAGTACGTGGAACACTTTATCACCATAAAGCAGGAGCATACATGTTAACGTTTCCACCTTTGTAACAATCGTTGGTGCCATTATCATTGTGTACATGTGTTTTATCTAGTGGAGAGAATGTCTACATCATGGGGTGAGCCATTAACCCCATATTAATTATCAGAGCCCAATAGTTCAAGCCTGATCAGCTTAACGCCCAATAGTTCAAGCCTGATCAGCTTAACATAACTTTAAAACAAATTTCTCAAAATAATGTTTTTTGAGTCATTCCATTAGATGCTCCTTTAAAACTATAGTTCAGATTTTTTTTCTTTTCTAAATATACTGGTTTGAAAGTTTGTGTTAGTTGTTGTTAAGCTAACCAGCCTTTGAAGAAGTCATGCCCTGGACTGAGTTTAACCAAGCTTTGTTAGCATAATAACTCTGGAAACAAAACATTGATGTTGTGGGATTCAGAATCACCATCACATAATTATGAAGATCACATCATAAAGCTGTTATGGTTTGGTACAACTAGATTCTGAAGTATGCCGAGAAGTTTTTATGTATTCGTCGAGTTAAAAATTCAACAAGCTTTTTCACAAACCTTAAAACATGAACCTCTAACATTGTGAATCTGAATGTCATATTATTTGTTACATGTACATATGTTAATAAAGAACGCATATTTTTAAAGTAAAAATTGGTTTGTTTGTAGTTTAACATCCTAACAACATCTTAGGTCATATGAAGACTGGTAATATGGAGAATATTAAAATGAAGAATTTGTTGCCTGTATAAGCAAAAAGCCATGATACTTGGTTATTTTATGTATAACAGTAGTATAAATCCTTTTCTAGCATCTTGTGTTTAGGTCAAATGTCAACTTTGAGTGCTTGCTGATGTTGAATGTAAATTCACAGCCTACAAGGTACTATCCTTAAAACGCTTTTAAAATCTTCTCAAGTTCTATAAGGCCAGTGTCATGATATTTGACCAGTAGACATGGGTAAAAAGAAGAGTGTACCAACCCAGGGGGATGGGCTCAACAGGGTAATTTGGGTAACAAGCATTCCCCTCCTGAAGTGTTGATAAAATTTCAACCAAATTGCTCTGAAAAGCTTAACCGGGAATTGAATATTGTCTAATGCTAAAGTGTTGTCTCTCATTTGATACCAAGTCTGAATTGGGGAAATATTAGCAAAACTAATTTTATTGAGGATATTTTGCCATCATGACAATGGAGAATTTGAATGGCTTTCCTTCCTTTTTGTACAGGTAAATTATTTTCCAAGAAATATCAGCACAATAGAATATGAAAGTTATCATTATTAAGGATCATAAAGCTTCTTTGATGGTGTAAGAGCACTTTGGGGTGATTGATATCAATCATAATTGGGATCGTGGGAGACACCAGCATAAACTACTAGATATGTTGTTCACTCCTATACTCATTCATTCAATACTTAATCACTGTCAGAAATAAACACAGATTACATACCCACTCTAAAACTGTCACCAGTGAAGTGAAGATGCATGTTTTGTATTTTCAAGACTAATCTGAAATTGAATTAAAAATGTTTGGCTTCGTTCATAAGAACGGATATTCTTTGTGGGGGAACAACCCATGTTTACTGTCATAGACCAATTGTATGTGTGTATGAAGATGTGTAAGTTTATAAACTTGCATTTAAAGAAATAAGTATGATAGCCTTTAAGTCGGCATAACTTTGATTATTAAAGAAAACATCCATTTTATTGAAAAAAGCACCAATAAACAGAAACAATTACTAAAAGAAACACTGGTATATAAATTAGTTAGGAAATCGAAAATTTGTTAAAATACAGAAATATCTAAAATGAGTGCGAACATTGGTTTAACTAGACTGGACGTGTATCAAAATATCAACAAAGGCATTGGGTTGGGAATAAGAACAGCAAACCATTATGGACATACATTAAGTGAAGAAGCAGGAAATCAGGGAAGCTCTCAACAACGGCAAAATAACAACCTTGACAGTACCTCCAACGCCGAGGTCGTGATGGACAATATTCATCTACGAGTCAATATATCCGAAACATAAACAAATAAGCACGTACCACTAGTTACCCTTCTTATCAACATTTCTAAGGATATAATGGAATAGGTTCTGTGTGATCTTGGAGTGCGGAAAGTATCCGGTCCAGATAACATCTCCAACAGGGCCAGCTATGCATGTGCGTCTGAGCTGCCCTATCTCGTCATCGTGATATTCAAAAAAGTCACTTGGTTTTGGTCAGCTTCGGAACCTATCTAATTGGCTTAATACCAGTACGACGTCTGTATTCAAGAAAGGAGAAAGACACCTTACCAAGAAATAAGAGCCTGTAGCACGTACATCAGTGATATCAAAGATTTTTAGAAAACATTATATAAAAGAACATATTAATGAACCCAAAATTCCAGCAGGCCATAGCGCTTTAACATGATAACGTTTCCAAACTGTCTTTATCATCCTCTATTTTGCATAGAGCTTTGACATTGCCCATCATGATAAATTTCTCGACGTGGCCATGAATATATCTCTCCATCAGAGGACCTTTCCCGGACTTGTCACGCTCGTCCCAAAGATAACGACGTTCACGCGATGAACCATAAATCTCAGATGTACCACTGTGGAGAGTGTTTTGTTCGTTTTTATTCCTATAGCATATAAATGACTTTCTAAATTCAGAAGTGTTCTAGGCACGCTAATTTTCTGATTACGGTGCCATATACAGTGAGGTCAATAGCCAACATGACCAACAAATCTTGCAAGAAAATCTCGGCCGTTTAGAAACATGGGGCAATCATTTGCGGATGCAATTCAACGTAAAACAATTATTCTTAACATCTGTAAAGAACGTGCGTTTCTCGATCTTCTAGCCGCTCTCCAAAAACTCCGTATATAAAGTCCTTTCCATCAAGGAAGGCAAATATGAAATGGAAGCATACATGCCTTATGAATTGTAATAGCAGACCAGTACGGGACACACTTGTAATAAGACAAGTTCCACTTTTGAGGGGAAATCTACCCCACTGATTCAAATCATGGAAGAATAACGCGTATATTTAATAAGTAGATCTACACAAGAATACAATGCCCTCAAATGAGACTCACACACAAACTAAAACCTTGAAAAACTTGAACAAGTCGAGTGGCGCACTACAAGAGTCATCTGAGGAACTTATTAGCCTTGAGAGGTTTAAATCATCCGGAAAAGTTTAGACTTTCAGACGCTGTAACAAGGACTAAATGCGTTCTTATAGAAAGTGGTTAATATCTTTATTTCCTTGAGAGAGGTAGGATGCTGTACTGGAAATGAACCTATATGGAAATCAACATAACTACCAGATTGTTCGATCAGATTTAAATTGTACCCGAAAACAAAACTTTCTTGACGGACACCTGTCAGTTGCCATGTCCAGCAAACGAACAGTTTTCAATACCATTGTATTAAATAGACTGCTAGTTTATTGACATATTTACACACACATTACAGCAGTACTATCAACATTACTGTTCACTCTGTCCTGCTGCAAATGACCGTTTAAAGTCTGAAGTCTCTGATACTCATGCCGAAAAAACAAGGAATGCATGTTGGTACATGTATCTGTCTATTTTATGTATATTGATCTCGTTAACATTTTTTTTTATATCTTTGCAGGATGTTGAAATAGGTAGTCCAAAACATAACGGTACGTTAAACCTTTATATCCATCTCTTTTCTTTCATTTGCATCTGGAGCAGTTTTTCGCAAGCGCTTTGGACAAAATAAAGGGAACTGCATAATCTATATCACATTTGTATCTCCCGTCACTGTAGGATGCTATGACTGGCTAGGTACATAATGGTATTTAATATGTATGAAAATGTGAGACGGAACATAACATAAAATAATTGCCGGTAGCTTTCGTATTCGAGGTGGAAGTTTATATTGTCTTTGATTAAATACCGTATATAATTGTTAATACAAAGTGTTTTTGTCTACAATCACTCAAAACGGATTCTTGGAATAAAAAATAATAATAAAACAATGTTTAATGACAACTTTGTTGTATTAAAATCTAACTCAAAGCTCCATGAAACTGTCGGTCGAGACAGGATTAGTCATACCATCTATTCCATCCCCAGCCTGGAAAACGTGGCCACCCATTGCCGTTGCCATTGTCGTCATTATCTAAAATACATCAAAACAGTAAAGGTTAATTCTGGAGAGAAAAAATCAAGAATATTTTTGAATGTTTTTTCATAGAGTTTTATTCGGGTCATCAGACCCGTCAACATTAATCTGGTTTGACCTGTTGACTGCTCTGGAGGGCCAGATAAAACTGGTATACTCTTTTTACGTAATGTGTGATGAAAATGATACAGAAATATTGTATTTAATCTAGTACTGAAGTATTTACGCTATACAATTCACTAACATTTTAAATATGAAGTTTTAAACTTACCATTATTGCCATACATCCAGCCATGCCTTCTCCGATAGAATTGGGCATGTGTTACGTGTAAGACCAGTAATGCTATCACAGACAGTAGAACCAAGAGGTTAAGTAAGCGTCTCATCTGTAAAAAGTATCCCATAGTGGTTATTTCTCTGTTGTCTCAGACAGCAGGGCTAGTACATATGTACGTGGCGTAAGTTACCATAATGTAATATATAACATAAAGATTAAATGCATCCATATTTGAGAAAGTAGGGCTAGGGAGTGAGGAAAGCTTACCCGATTATCTGTTTAGATATATAAGAGTGTACACTTCAACAAGTAAAGAGTTACGCATGCATACTCATTTCACGTTGTCTTCTCTTTTTGGAAGGGAAAATGTAAACCTGGTAAACACGAGGTTAGTATTTTTTTTATTATTAAGTATAACAGTGTCTTAGCTTAATTTCTATATTCATAGCAATGTCCGAATCAAGAACAAAAATAATGAAAGTTTCACGGTAGAAGGTATATTAACACAATAGCATTACATGTACCAATTGATTAATGAAAATAGTGTTACATGTATCAATTGATTAATGAAAGTTTATAATACACTGACAGCTTTTAAATGGTAATGCCCATTTTTTGCGCATCAATTTCCATCAAAGTTGTTTTAAATAATCTGTATTCCAAATAGAAATTGATGACATATAAAGCTATGATTTGTGAGAACAAGTAGTTCCAAGTCCTAAAACAATTCTATGAACGTATGAATATAAAGGAAATGTGTTTATGGCCCATCAAATCTATCATTTGGTCATTAGAATCACGTACTATTAACACATTTACACTGTCATGATAAATGACAAATCCATAGAGCGAGATATATGTTTCCTCCCATTTAAAGTCTTAATATTTCCGACTTTTTTCATGAATTTATAAAAAGAATTAAGAATATATTAATACAAGAGACTTTTAATGTATAACAAGTAATTGAAATTACTATTAAACTTTCAGAAAACGATATCGAAAAATCACTCATTTCACTTAAATGATTAAATAACACTTTGCTGTCGTATCTCGACATTCTTCTAAATAAAAGAAAACAATAACTGGAAAAGTCCTTCGCTCACATTTAAACTACATTAAACAATTCCCAGGAATTACACATTGATTTAAGTGTGGTCCTGTACAAAAATCACAGAAGACTTACCTTGGCGGTGTTTGGTGTGTGTTATTTGTGCATCACTGTTACACCTGTCTCAGGTTATATAGGTGTTTCCTCCAATATCACGTGGCTATACGGAAACAAACAATGACCAGTCCAACACGACTTTGTTTTCGTGACACATGCAAAATGTCACGACACAACATCAGTATTGTCTGCAGACAACGCGCGGTTTTTGGGCGTACCATCTGAATGGGACATTTTACAAGGAAAAACGGAGGAAAATGTCGCTTTGAATAATTGCATACACATACAAATATTTTTCGTTATCTTGACTTAAAGAATGATGGTTTAAATGAGATGTTTGACACGCTGTGTGTCTACTGTGTTAATGAAGTGCTTACATATAAAAATAATATCTATGACAGCAATAAATCTCTAAGACAATAGGTAATTGCGTTGTATACTATTCGATTAAGCCGTGGTGATGTTTTATTGCACAGTTTTGCTGTTGGGTTGCAAACGCTTGTATCAACCGAATGGTGTGTAAACCACAAGATAGTCTAAATGCTATTATAGTTTTAACCTTTTTACATAAGTCGATGCATTGTAGTTACAGGCTACCAATTTTCGCGTAATGTTGTGTCAAGCTGTGTTCATGTGTTCAACTGTCACGTGAACAATTATCTTGCATAGCGTATACAGTGAACACATATGCGTAAATGAAAGAAAGGCGAATTAAGCACACACAAAGAAGTACAAGAAAGATAAATCCACAAAATCAAATGCAGGAGAAAAAAGAAATAATTATCTACAGCATGTATGGTGTTGATTTCCTTATCACACCGATATTCTGTTGGTGAAACCGTAGTAGCACATTCGCCGAACTATAAGATCCAGTCCCTCTTTCGTTCCTTGTTAAAGTGTTGTGTTGAAGTCCTATATTGGACATGAAATTAAGGATGACATTACCGGATGCTGTAAAGTAATATTTAATGGAAGAGTGAAATGAGCAGTACATCCTATATATAATATATATACATTGGTTTAGTAGGATCATGAATATCAAAAACGTCTGTTTTACACATCTTCGATATTTCAGGGTTCCGTTCCATCTTCACATCCTTGGAATATGTCATGTTAAAATCGAGGGCTCTGTTCGCGACACCCGTGTGGATGGTATAAGTGGACAAGTATGTATCATTGATGTGGAGCGTCATGGTAAAATGGTAAGGCTTTAAAGTTGTTTAAAACTCCCTTTAACCTTAAACGATTTGTACACATGAAATCAAATAAGCAGTCGCAAACCTTCGATTTTGTCAGGACATATTCTAGGGCTGCAAAGAAGATATGCGCTTTGAGAGAAGAAGCCCTTTGATTTCGAGGACAGTTTGACCGGACCTTGATGTTACAGAATGTCTATATAATCTCCACAGTCACGTACACCTACATCTACCAGATGAAACATTAAAGTAAATAAAATGAAATTAACGTTATCGTTGTCTTTAAACACTTTCACGTAAACTGTCTACATTTAAGAGCTCGGACATCATTGTTGACAAGTTCTAGAGACTAGTTGGCCAATCATAAAACTGTACTGTTCTCAAAAGGTGTGCATGTGAAGATTATGTATATATAGGAATGATAAAAAAAACGTTTTATTATAACACCCTTACATATATAAATTGCGTATACATATTATATTTTGCTTAACTATAAGGGTTCTATTGATATTTTTTATATGAGTTTGATAAATCTGCTTTCTTTCTTTCTTTTACAGAGAGTTGTCACAGCCAAGATCATGTTTGATAAAAACCTGGTCGTGTAATGCTATTTCGAAGTACATGCTTACCATTGTTATAACACGTGTAGAGATAGGTGTGCGTTTCACTAGCACGTTCAGATTTTACCTGCTGTCAATCACATATAGAAGCTTACAAGCGTAAGGTGTCCTCCAATCCTGGTCGTCAGCAGGGTCCAAAATACGCAGGTATGTTTGTTTATTTATTGGTCGTGGTTCATTGAGTCAGATCACATATGATGATCATTGAATGTTGTTTGTCTAATTCGATTTAATATGACCGAGTGCGAAAAAAATAAAACAGTAACAGTAAGAGAAAAAAGAGGCCCAATGGGCCTGCATCGCTCACCTGGTATAAATCTCACACTTGTAGCCTTAAAAGTGATCTAAAATAAAGCTACAGGCAAAATATCAGTATTTATGATTAAAATTCATTCAAAAGAACCTGTAATTTTTTTTTTAAAACATTTCACCCCTGTGATTGAAAGTCGAACAAAGTCATTATGTTGAACAAATTGTATAGCCTTTCATCTCAGGATGCAACTTGCAAAATATCAACATCCTGGGACCCATGGTTATTCAGAAGAGGTCGTTTAAAGATTTTACACAAATTTGACCCCTGTGACCTTGAACATAAGTCAAAGTCACTCACTTTAACAAACATAGTAGTTCTTGATCCCAGCATGCTACTGACTAAATATCAACATCCTGAGCCAAGTTGTTTAAATATTTTGAACATATTTGCTCCTTGTTACCTTGAATATGATTCAAGGTCATACATTTAAACAAACTTGGTAGCCTTGATCCTAGTATGCTACTGACTAAATATCATCACCCTGGGCATTTTGGTTATTCAGAAGAAGTTGTTTAAAGTTTTTAACATATTTGACCCCTGTGACCTTGAATATAGGTGAAGGTCATTCATTTGAACAAACATGATGCCCTTTACCACAGCATGCTACTGGCCATATATCGTCACCCTGGGCATTTTGGTTATTGAGAAGAAGTTGTTTAAATTTTTTAACATATTTGACCCCTGTGACCTTGCCTTTGGGTGAAGGTCATTCATTTGAACAAACTTGATAGCCCTTTACCCCAGCATGCTACTGGCAAAATATCATCACCCCGTGCATTTTGGTAATGCAGAAGAAGTTGTTTAATGTTTTTAACATATTTGACTCCTGTGACCTTGAATATAGGTGAAGGTCATTCATTTGAACAAACATGATAGCCCTTTACCACAGCATGCTACTGGCCAAATATCGTCACCCTGGGCATTTTGGTTATTGAGAAGAAGTTGTTTAATTTTTTAACATATTTGACCCCTGTGACCTTGACAATGGGTGAAGGTCATTTATTTGTAAAAACTGTGTAGCCCTTTATCTCAGCATGCTACTGGCCAAATATCATTACCCTGGGCATTTTGGTTATTGAGAAGAAGTTGTTTAAATTTTTTAACATGTTTGACCCCTGTGACCTTGAATATGGGTGAAGGTCATTCATTTGAACAAACTTTGTAGCCCTTCATCTCGGCATGCTACTGGCCAAATATCATCACCCTGGGCATTTTGGTTATTCAGACGTTGTTTAAAGGTTATTTTAAGACAATTGACCCCTGTGACCTTGAATATAATTGAAGGTCATTGATTTGAACAAACTTGATAGCCCTTCACCCAAGCATGCTAGTGGCCAAATATCATCACCCTGTGCATTTTGGTTATTGAGAAGAAGTTGTTCAATGTTTTTCACATATTTGACCCCTGTGACCTTGAATATGGGTGAAGGTCATTCATTTGAACAAACTTTGTAGCCCTTCATCTCAGCATGCTACTTGCCAAATATCATCACCCTGGGCATTTTGGTTATTCAGAAGTTGTTTAAAGGTTATTTTAAGACAATTGACCCCTGTGACCTTGAATATGATTGAAGGGCATTAATTTGAACAAACTTGGTAGCCCTTCACCCAAGCATGCTACTGGCCAAATATCATCTCCCTGGGCAGTTTGGTTATCGCGGAGAAGATGTTTAAACTTTTTAACATATTTGACCCCTGTGACCTTGAAAATGGGTGAAGGTCATTAATTTTAACAAACTTTGTAGCCCTTCATCCCAGTTTGCTTCTGGCTAAATATCATCACCCTAGGCCATTCGGTTATTAAGAAGAAGTCGTTTAAAGTAAAATATTGACGCCGGACGACGGACGGACGACGGATTCCGCGCCACGGCATAAGCTCACTTGGCACTTCGTGCCAGGTGAGCTAAAAATGTTTTGACGACTAATTTTGGAAAGAAAATGAGCAGAGTTTAATTACGTCATTGGCCATATTAGGTCGTTTGTGCGAAATGATAAAAATCGATCACATGCAAAATACATGTTGGCGACCACTGCTTCCTACACGTGAATGTTACATATACTAGTGTTACAACTATTGCCGTCTAGTTTCACTCACTGCGTATATTCATAGGACATGTTCCCAATATTAAAAATAATCTGACATTAAAGTACATACGTACGTTCTGACGGCTGGCGTGCGACTGTGACGTCATAGCGAAAAAAACTCGTGTGATATTACAATGTTTCTGTCATATGAAAAACATATTGTGAATTTTCACCTGGGAACATTTTATATAAACTCGATGACATTATACGAAATGCTACCATAGACGTGACATTCAAACTGGATATGATCAAGACTTGAGACGAGACATAACATTTTACATTAACCTTGTTTTAGATCATAGAAAGTTACAAGTGCCTTGCTCACGTGTTGCATATGTGACATCATTTGTCGACAGAAACGATGGACGCCATATTTGTTCTGCTGACGATATCATTCGTAAATATTCTTCTGTGGTATGAGTAGCTGTTAAAGAGACACGATCAAAGTTTTAAAAACAACATCTTTAGGAGACACGGTAGTCTAGTGGTAGGACGCCGGGCTCGTGACCGAAGGGTTGCAGGTTCGACTCACGGCACGGCACTGTGTTGTATGTTTGAGCAAGATACTTTACTCCGCTTGTTCCAGTCTACTCAGCTGTAAATGAGTATGTGGTTGGGCAGTGCTAGAATTGTAAAATGCTTGTTGTGAGCGCCGTAATGGCAGCTCCGCCTATATCCTCCCAAGGGAGTTAAGAATAATATTGACTGGTTGCAAAGGCCCTATAACCACGGATAATAATTTGTGAACCTCTTTGAGACGACCTACAAACTATTATTATTATTATCATTATTATATCTTACAGTTTGATTAGAATATGCACAGGCAATGCATTTGAATGAAAACACCCACGCGTTTGTTATCCATTTAGCTCAAAGATAAAAGACATATCGGCATTGATAAGCTCCGTTTTGCTGTCGACTTATTAGCCGTTCTGATTGGCCAGTGAAAAGAAGACGATGCTATTTTATATTGTTGATAAAAGCCTGTATTATACGATACTTACAATTATATAATTTGGTCGTTACTGCAAGGGCAAAATTTAACACAAAAATCTGTCCCAGAAACAAAAGATTAACAAAACTGTTCTTGGTGTCAGTGACGTCTAAATTACCGAAACAGTAGAAAGTGGAAAGTGGAGAGTTACAGATTGAAAAGAACTGACAATTTTTCTTTCTTTTCGCTAATAACCAAATACACTGATTTAATAGGATAAGGTTGATAACCTTACACGCATAAAGAACAAATCACACTTTCTACATGTGGATTTTGTCAATCTGGTTTATTTCAGTCTGCAGCATGGACAATGATTACTGCTCTAATCAACATCGCACAAGGAAACGTTGACATATCAGTGACGTCATTGTGACATCACTTGTAGAAATATCTCTCATCTCCTCTAGCTTCACCCTCGTACTCTGTCCATTCTTCTGAAACAAAACATTCATGCGTTAAGTTTACATGTACATCCAGGTCTCTAACAATTATCAGATAATTTCTTGTTCGGATGTCTTGAGATAAAATATTTTGGTTTTCGTGTTTTTGCAGTACTAACATTTTCTTAATCAAATTAGCATTTTGTATGTGCATTTCTTCCGATATGCTATATTGGGAAATAGTTTCTCTTCAGATTACTTCAATTTATCTTTTTTCATTCTATTTGAAATCGATTTTGATTTTTTTCGTTTAGTTGGAACATCATATAACCATGACAATAGTGAATAATAGGAATATTACTGTGTGACAGGATACTTTTGCCATGTTAAATTTTCTACCATTACAGGGATAGTACATATTTACCATTACAGGGATGGTACATATCTACCATTACAGGGATGGAAACACTCACCTCCTCCTTCACGATGGAAGGTCCCGGTTACCATGCCAATGCACGACTGTAATATACATAGTAGTAGCAGGTAAACAAGTGAATCCCATTCCATCTGCAAAACAGTATAAACGATACCCAGATTATACACATCATCTACATAGCAGAGACATGGGATAATATTATAATATTATAATTCCTACTCAAGTTGGAATCAATGCAACTACCAAATGTAATCTGTTTCATTTTCCCATGAATTTGACCAGATTAGCATTGCCTGTGCGTATAATTTTGCGAATGGAGATAACTATTGAAATGTTAAAACAAAGCTCTCTCATTTTTATTGAAGTAACACAAGAAATTGTTCAAACAACCAAAAACGATAAACCAGCAAAATATTATCAGCTCACGGTTGCTAGCGGTAGTGACAAGTCATGTCATGATGTACTGCCCTAGAAATCCTACCTCCAGCTACCCATTCTGCCTTGTGTAAATAGATCCACAAGGGTTCGGTACAAATGTCTGAAATACACATATCATGCTATAACTGATATGGGTCACAGCACACATAAATAAACATATAAATGTATGTTTATGTGTGCTGTGACCCGTATCAGTATAGCATGTGCATTTCAGACATTTGGAACGAACCCCTGAGGAAGATCCATGTGGTTCCGTCTTATATGAAATACAGTCGAACAGCCAAATGCCATAACAAATGTTTCGTCCGTTCAAGCCACGTCTGGTTTCCTGTCTAATTCGACATTCAATTACCGCAACTTCACATTCCAGAAGATGTAGAATCTCGAAATTTAGCGGCTCTCCACTTCGAGCTAGTATTTAGATGGCTGCCGTAGACTTGCAGCTGAGCCTGTGCACCGCGTCTAGACATTATTCTTCCGCGATGACGAATCAGAAAATTTATCAATAAAAATTAAATATGACATTTAAAAATGGATTTCTGTTTTGTTTCTACATAATTTGGCTGTATTGAATTATCAACATACACCATCATGATGCATGATGGTCCTTCAATGACGGACTTTATTTTTTACATTACGTCTATACGTAGACTTGCACAAGCTCCAGAACATGTGGAAAACGATCAGAATGGACTTCACAAGTTCCAGTTATTGAAAAAAAAACACGATTGAAATATAAAGATTTAATCCTGCTTTGATCGATTTTGATGGGGTGATGAATTGTATTGGTCTTGAAACAAATTCAACATGAACTAAATAAAGACCTGAACCTCATTTTAACAACAAGGGAGTCTAGTTTAGTTTGTCGGTAAAACGTATGATGAAAAACAAACAAACTAGTATTTTGCGGTTCGTTATTGGGTATTACAGGATAAGTCGTATGTCGGTATATACAAGTTTTCCTATATATATATATATTTTGTATCATTCGTGTTCGTTATACTGAGGTTGCAGTACAATTAAATCGACGTGTTTTACTCATGAGAACTTCCTTTGCTAACCGTGTCCTCACCTTTGCTGACCTTCATATGTTGAGATGTCACGGAAGACATCATGGTGAGTGCCGAGTTCAGTTAAAGCTTACGCTGTCAGGTCGCCTGGATTTACTTGTTGTTGTTGTTGTGGGTTTCTGACCCTTTACTTTTGTATTCTTCAATTGTTTTGTTTGAATCAAGGATGATTTTTGTTGTCATTATCTTTTTGATGCTGGGTCTTTTTTCTGTTTTACCTTCTTTACTTAATCAAATAAAAAATACATACTGCAAAACATGCACATTCTGATTCATTTGAGATAGAACACGGCTTTTGATTTGTCCATCGAAGTATTTTGTGGCCGTATAGCGCTAATAAACCCTCCCTAAATTTGTCATTTGCATGTGAAGCAAGACCGGTGATGTTGATTAGTTCAACAATCCTTACAGGTCATGCAATTAATTATTAATGTTGTCACGAATAACATGATTCCTAAAAGTCTATATAATTCTGCTTCACTTTGAATATCACTAACGACTTTAACCAATGACAGGGTGACCAGATTTCTCATAAGCTTTTTTTTTGTTTGAGAATTGCGTCGATATGTCATGATTAGACTGTGGCAAATAAAAGTTTTACTGGCTCTTTCCCGCGTAAGTATGATCACAATATACCACCGGAAATCTCAAACCTAGAAGGTTATCCACTAATTCCAACTTTTTAGGGCATCCCTCTTTTCTTTTCGGAAATTTAATTTCAATTTACAATTCATAGACAAACATATTTGCTTAAAACAACTTTTTTTATCATTTAAACAAATTTATTCCATAGACATATTAACATATTGAAATACAGTCAGCAGCTTTGCTTGAGATATCACCTCTATGAAGAAACCTTGCTTCAAGTCCATCCTATATTGATTTATGTTTACTTATCCTGCAGTAAGAGACCCTATTGGGATTCCGTTGTAGCCTTTGATTACAGGTATGTCAGGTATTAACAAGATTATTACATGAGGTCATTTATCAAAATATATTTTAATCCAAGCCTCAGAACCACAGAATAATCTAAACTGAAATCCATATCAATATTTGCGCGTCTAGTGTTGCGGTGATGTTTGTTTAGAAATCGATATAGTAGAATATTACATATTTCTTCAGTATCTTGTTAAAACGTTATGTAATGTTCATAAGCACGCACATCTTGTTGTAATCCGTCTTTGCGTATTGCAGAGTTATCTTCTCTTGGGAGCAGATATTGATTGTTACGTCATTGGTTTGTGTGAGAAAATTACGTCGTTTTCTCAAAACTTGATGACATTACTCTCACAAACAAGTGACGTAACAATCAATCCCTGCTCCCAAGAGAAAATAACTCTGCAATACGCAAAGACGGAATACACAAATACAAGATAATACCGAAATGCGAACAAAACTGGAAATTGATTTCAAAATCGACAACAATAAGGCAAATTAAAATCAAAGCGAAGATACACGGAGATGTTGGGTACACTAACTAAAAGAGCAGGTTGTCCAGAAGGGCAAAGTCTTATCTTACGTTGGATTGATTACACAAATAAATATTTATCTTATCGATAAATAGATATAGATTTAGTTCTAAGACTGTTTTACTCCCCGGGGTTACGGTCACCGAGTAAAAATAACTAGTTACCACCCTTTTACTGTAATCGTACTTATATAGCGCACACAGCACACACTCTGCAACAAGTTAGAATTCCAATGTTTAAGTTTAGCACTAAAACTCTCATTACCATGCAGGAATACACTGCTTTTACATTTAGCGCTTCTTATTTAGACGAAAAACGGTAAGATATGTTTACTGCAAAAAATAAGTCGGTTTTCTGTACCCTTACTTTACACAAGTTCAGCTTTGATTTGACACAGACTACTTTCATTGTTTCATAATCGGAAGTCACGTCCACTAGATGAATTACAATGGTTTAACTCGATATAGACATCTTATTCTTAGAGCTTTATTTCCAGCATAACCTGACGGTATATACATGCCTATCCTTTGCCGATAATTCTTTATAAAGACTGTGGACCTTTCCGACATTATGTTAATCTGCGTTGAGTTTCAAAGCTATTGCAAACTTAATTGTTGTTAATTAACTTTCGTAAAAAGGAAATAAAAGACTTTTGTCTGTTAAGCTTTTCATGACCTTTTGGTAATGCTTTTGAAAATTTAGAGAGATACATAAAACTATTTTTCCCTTAACGGATGACGTGAAGAAAACAAGATTCTTAAAGGGTTTTTGGTCAACAAAATAATTCAAATATGCAGCATAGGGCAAAATATGGAAGAAAATACCTACCTTGTGCGTTCTCGGTTTACCCTGGATTGACCAATAAGATGTTTACGTCATAGTGCAATTCATTTTATATGAGGACGATACCTTCAATTTATGACAACTTTTATACGCCGTGACAAGCATAAGGAACAGGAAAGCAGAACACGGGAGCATCAATTACTTCTGTGCTGACGACTACTGTAAAGCGATGGGTGTTGTCTTGCCTTGTAACTTACCGGGAACTCGTTTGCAGCGTCAAAGGGCATGATCTGAGATCTTACAGGGTGCACACAAACATTATGTTACACACTCTGTTACACAACACACTGCCTTTGACGATACATAGACATGTGCATGCATTTAAAAAAGCATTTCCTGTGTCATTGTTTTCATTAAACCGTATGTATTAAGGCCATAGGTATAACAGTACCTAGTCTGCCATCTCAATATCACAGGAACGCTTTCACAGTATTTCCTTCTCCTTAATTTGTCTCGTGTCTCCCTTAAATGTTTTTTCTGAGACTGGTTGAGATTGTCATAAGGTATTTTCAATTTCCTACAAATGTAAACTCGAGGGTCCCATATCAGCCAGAAGGCTAAAATTGGCCAAGTGTTAACTTAAGGTAGTATACGGGTTAGGACCTTGTTAACATTTAACTGAAATACTATACAATATCAAATGTTATAAATAACGTCATAATTATTGACAAACCATATATAAACACATTCTACCTTATAAGTCTTGCATTGTCTGATCAGGAATAAGTGCTGCGTGTTCTGTAAAAAGTACTAAGAGAGAAATGGATATTACACACGCAGGACTGATGTGACGATTACTCATCTATCAGCAGAATCGCATGTGCATATAGGTTCATATTATAGACAAGTACTGTCTATATTATATTTTCGCGTGTACATTATTTCACAAACATTACAAAAAAGCCCTCTTTTTTTGCGATTTCTTGAATTAACGATTAATGTTTCCTTTTTAAGTTCTTTTCCCTTGAAGCCTAGTGCCTTGTCACGCGTTACATCACCTTTGGCTTTTCCCTTGAAGCCTAGTGCTTTGTCACGCGTTACATCACCTTTGGCTTTTCACTTGAAGCTTAATGCCATGTCACACGTTACATCACCTTTGGCTTTTCCCTTGAAGCCTAGTGCCTTGTCTCGCGTTACATCAACTTTGGCTTTACCCTTGAAGCCAAGTGCCTTGTCACGCGTTACATCACCTTTGGCTTTTCACTTGAAGCCGAGTGCCTTGTCACGCGTTACATCACCTTTTGCTTTTCCCTTGAAGCCTAGTGCTTTGTCACGCGTTACATCACCTTTGGCTTTTCCCTTGAAGCCTAGTGCCTTGTCACGCGTTACATCACCTTTTGCTTTTCCCTTGAAGCCTAGTGCTTTGTCACGCGTTACATCACCTTTGGCTTTACCCTTGAAACCTAGTGCCTTGTAAGCGTTACATCACCTTTGGCTTTACCCTTGAAGCCTAATGCCTTGTCCCGCGTTACATCACCTTTGGCTTTTCCCTTGAAGCCTAGTGCCTTGTCACGCGTTACATCACCTTTGGCTTTTCCCTTGAAGCCTTGTGCCTTGTCACGCGTTACATCACCTTTGGCTTTTCCCTTGACGCCTAATGCCTTGTCCTGCGTTTCATCACCTTTGGCTTTTCCTTTGAAGCCTAGTGCCTTGTCACGCGTTACATCACCTTTGGCTTTTTAGTCCTTAAAAATGATAGTAGTTATTCCCTGCTTAACGTGCAGCATTGGGATAAGGATGAGAACTAGTCGACACGTTGTCAGTATAATTCCAAATATTAATTTGGAAACAGTACTCGTGAAAGATGAACATTTGCGAACGAGTTTCCGCGAGAATTAGCAAGCAATATCTCGTCAACATGAAGTAATATAAGTACATTTTTGCTCATTTATGGTCAAAACGAAGGATACTTTAACAGACAATAACATGACTACAGTAGGTTCGTTGCGGTAATGATAAAAGAGTAACCCTATTTTACACTATATCGCATCAATGAAGTATTGACATCTGATGCATGACAATATTATGGCACACCATCTATATGAAAGAAGCTTTTCATGTTGCGATTTGTCGCACCATTCAGCTTGGCTGTAACGGTGTAGCAGAAATAAAAGTATGTGTGCCATATCTATGCTATTACCTGCTAAATATATCAAATTCAATTGAATAATAAACGTTTGGCTATTTAAAATAAAATTATATATGGTCTAAGACTAATGTTAGTGTTTTTGTGATTTTTAAATTGTTTTAGTTGGGGTTTGTTCCTGTTCAATTTATGTTTGATGCTTTTTAGGACAAAATTTTCTTTTAACTTGTTTAAATTGTTCGGTACACAGAAAACAAAATAAAGAATAAATTAACAAAAAATAACCAAACACAAGGCATTAATATGTCATATTCCATTAATTTGTAATTCAAAGACCCCATGTCCCTCTTATATTCCCCTTAACTTCGTTTTGGACAAAGCTATAGCGAAATTGGGCAAATTAGTTTCGTTTACCTGGTAGCTGAGCTGGTTAGAGCAATAGGAAACCAAACCGAGGTGCAGGGTTCGAATCCTGATCTGGCCACGCTGAAATCGTACATCGAAAGCAGTATGTTCAGCCGCAATTAAGGTAGGGTTTTCTTTTTAGATATGATTTCTCCAAGCTTTAGTCATTACGGAAAATCAATGTCCAATGCAAAGCGGTACAGGGATCCTTAAAGATTGATGATATTTGAGAAGGGTCTTTTTTCAGTTAAAACGCATGCAATTCTGAAAGCATTACATGGCAATTTAACACCTTTTTGACAGTAGTTACACTGAAAGACATAACAAATTGATAAAACAATGATGCATGTTTTGACAAGTAAAACATTTTATTTTCAAAATTGTGTCAGAATTGTTTTCTGCAATCTTATCGATAATTTTAATTCATACATACTGTGAATGTTTAAGCAGTACCCAAATTTAGCAATTCATGTGCTAAATCGAAAAACGCTTTATAAAGATAGAAATGAATATGTACGTTAAAGACCTCACCGTACTACTATAGTTTGAAAACTATCACAGACGCGCGAAAATAGCAGCACGCTTATTTAACTACTCTAACAGTATCCTCCTTTATACATATAATACAGAACGATGTTATCACACGATGCATTGAAGCGAACAGAAACACAAATAAAACATGTTAGGCATATGAATAAATAGACAATACAGCAGGAACCAAAACAAGTAAAACTGGATACATCCCGAAATGATAAGCATGACTGACCAGGGTTTGTACATGATCAGAAAATTACCGTTAAACAACATGCTGCAGAATTTACAATTGTGACGTTTACAGCTATGTTTCAAGTAAAGACACCCTATCATCATCGATCCTCGATATCCAGGGGTTACGCTCAAGTTTGCTCTCTACACCCCTGGAATATGTCATGGCAAAATTGAAGGCTCAGTGTGCGCCACATTGTTGATGAAACAAGAAGACTAGTTCGATCCTTTGATGTACGTCAAAAGAATCTCGCGGTCACGTAACGGTAAAAATTACCGGCCTTAAAGTCGGGCGTCTCTCCTTTGTAATCTTCAAAGGACAGGTATCAGCCTAGCGATTGGTCAGGTGTTTTTTTTTTTTTTTTTTTCTGAGACCAATCAAACAGCTATCTTTGTGCCTTCAATTTTGCCATGACATATTCCAGGGGTGTAGAGAGCGAAAGTAAGCGTAACCACTGGATATCGAGGATGATCATCATTAAGATTTAAGTATGTTTATTTCACACAATAGAAAATGATTGTTATTTCGTTTTTGGTTGGAACCTGTAAAGATCATGAGGGTGGAGAATACATTTTTTCTCTTTAGGTTCTAAAGATACTTCTTCTTATAATATGTATGCTGTGACGTCATTCAATAACCTACGACGACACCTGCTCATATATCTGACGTCATCACAGGATATGAGAAGGTAAAGCTCAGTCGTGTCTGTAATAGCCACCATATGGGTTCATTCCATAACTATTGGTGTCGGGACTGTCCCATGAGTTGTAATCAGGCCTGTTGTCATCTGAAAAAGAAAGTTTAAATGAGCATTTGTTTTTACTTAAAATAAAGATAGATTACATGCATACACCATATTATGGGATGGAATATGACAAATGGAAGTCACCAGTACGGATGATGAATTTGTTCACTATTGTTCAATTCGCGCATCAGTTAAATATTTTTCAAAATGGAAGGGGATATAATCCAGGTTCTACTCAAAGTTTTCCTATTTTGTGTTTGATATTGTGAATAATCATTTCCATCAAATCTTATTATTGTATATCTAAAACAAACATTGACCTGCGCTTTAGGCTGTGTGTCTCAAATTTTCAGCTAGGAATTCAACAAAACAGCAACAAAAAGCATTCAAAGATTTAATTAAAGGGCAAAGATATTATTTTTCCGGCTTATTTGATTAAATCACATAAATATGTCTTCATGTTTGGTAAGCATAATGCATTGGGCCTTATTGATAAAAGAACTTAATAGCTTAACGATGAGGTAACACGGAGATTACAAAATATCCGTGAATTGATAAACGCCTGGTTTTATTTTTCATGGTTTAGGACGGTCAATTGAAAATCAGTATATATACATACTAATTCTGAATTTAAATATATTTTGAGAACAAAACAACAAGTGAAAGATTTGTGGTAAAAAAAGTCGCTATGCTAACCAAACTTTGAACGATCGAGCCCTGAATTTAGAAAACCTTGTTTGCGGTTCTGAGAACAGTCAGCTTGAAGCCAGATATCTGCTGTTCTCATGAGTAATAATAGGTTCGTATACTCACCATTTCTGTAATTCGTGAACCTGGATCCGTAAGATGGGAAGGTTGACTGGTACGATGGGAAAGTTGACTGATACGATGGGAAGGTTGACTGATACGATGGGTAGTTTGATTGATACGATGGGTAGCTTGATTGATACGATGGATAAAAGGAGCCCCTGGTCATGTAGTTACCGGGCATAAAATTTTGTGAGTGAACTGTTACTGCACATAGTACCAACCCACATACCAGGCTGAGGAATACAATTCTCATCTGTAATACACAAATATCAGAATTTATCATAAGTATCACTGTATAATACAAGGAAAATTGTTTAAAATGTATATTATTTTATTATCTCTAAACTTTTTTAGTGTTAGAATGTGTTGGTTAATTGGGTTTACGTCCTATCAACAACAAGGATAGTTTAAGGATGTCCCTATACTTATTGATGGCTGTACATACATTTCTTATGCTTTATCACTTCTTCTCATTTATATCACAAGACATCTCCAGCACACACGCAGGCATACACACATAGGAAGATATTAGCCAGGTGGCATAGGACTAGTAGTTATCGCCTGATAAGGCAGCTCATGCGAATTCCTCACAAAATATATATCCTAGTTGTAGTAATTGTATATCTATGTACTATAAAGCGCTTTAGACTGGTTTATGTTAGCTAGATAGGGCGCTATATGAAATGTTGTATAGTATTATATCAGAAAAACTACAAATAACCCATATACGATATTCGTTGATGTAAATTCCTTTAAGGGATATATGTGTGTCAAATAATTGACATGTTTTATTCCTTTATCACAAAGCACATTATTTCATGTGGTAAAGTTTCTGCTAAATAAATTTCAGTAAAAAGTTTATTATCGTCTTATCCACTCTTTTACAAATAAAGATTTACACAATATATGTCAGGATAAAGTACTCCCTCTATTTGTAACACGCTATATTTTATATCATTTTCTCTGTATCTTACATACAACATCTGTACAGACAACAACATTGCAAAATTAATAATAAAATATTTCTTGCTTCAGTATAGAAATTTGCAATGATATACTGTGTATCGGGAAATTTTCGCCGCAATTTAATTTCATCTTTTTCGCCCTCTGAAATGAGTACACAGCATACTATACATAGTAATAATATGTAAAGGGCGAAATTAACACTGCGCGAAAACGGTTTATACCAGTGAAGGGCGAACATTAGGCTGGGCGAAAATTTCCCGGTAGTCAGTAATTAGATAAATTATTACCTTACCTTGATGCAGGTATGATCTCAGTCCGTCAGAATTATGGTGATATGTAGTACATTGAACTTGTCACGTGTATTTATAGGTAACTCGTCGGACACGCCCCCTTTATATTTGATAAATCATTAATTAATGATGGATGTGTGCTAATGAGAAAATGTGTGACATATAATTTGTCAATGAACTTTTTGTACTTTAGTTGCTAATCATGAATATCTAACAAGAGGTCATTTAATGATATATTACGTAGTTAGACTTTTAATGATTGAAAATAATTGATATATTGAGTTTAGGGTGAAGAAAGTCAATACATATTTACATATGTGTTGACCTATCGGCAAAGCGTGACCTTTCCTAATGTAAAATAGGATTTCATGTTTGGAACTACCTGGAAGTTTTCCAAATCGAAGCGGATAACATATGGTACTTATATATGATAAACGATAATACTGATCTGACTTAGAGAAATTGTCATTCAATAAAACGTTTTCTATTTAAAAAAGAAGTGTTATACATTATTAATATTTGCTATAATTAAAATTATTATCAGATTAATAAATGGCAGAGTATCCATTTGACATGAATTACCAATAAACAATGCTTATAGATAAATGTATGCACAAACTAATGTATATATTATTATTTATGCATTGGGTCATAAACGATATATATACATGTATTATAAGAGATGAAATAGTACCATTGTCTTCCTTTGTACATTTATAGTGACGCTAGTAGTGTTTTCTCGTAGAAAGCCATCAAGCTGTCCGAGTCTGACTAATTAGCTCGTGTTTTTTTGTTTAGATTCCAGGGATAATAACTAGCATTCCTCTGTTTAACACTGTATAATAAGTAGTTAATCAATGTGTGTACAGTAGACCCTTGTACTGTAGTATCAGGGCGTTACAACCTCTCTCGTGTATCAATGACCTAACAGATACACCACAGACGATATTGACCACCTTCCATGATGTATAGAAAACTCTAAACGTTTGTCAGTGGGTATAGATAAGCTTTCTGGGCTAATAAGTATGCCTTAAATTTTTACTCTGTTCTATATATAGAGAAATTGTTAGACACTGGTCAGTACAGTATGACATGAACTGTTGCAATGCTGGTCCATATGATAACACAGTTTTAGATGCTTTACAATGTGACTAGACATAAGTTTTCTACAAGCAAAATATATGCAAATTAATACAATAGAACAGGTTTTATGTTGGTCAGTATGGTAAGATACTGTATACCGAAAATTGTTCACTCCAGTTTAATTTTCGCCTTTTCGCCCTGCGTTATGAGGGACTATAAATAAAATTATGTGCGAACGTTTTATTTAATAATGATTAGAAAATACGAACTATTTTTGTGTGCCGGTGTAGAAACCAAACAATGTTGGCATTTTGCCGCACACTATGGCCATTTCGTCCATTAACACCTGAAATTTCCTGAAATTTCATAATGAACTATTCCAACCTTTGAATTGGAAGCGTTTAAATGTGTTAAATGAGTTAATATAAGGACTCTTGGAAAAACCCCAGGTCTCGAGTATTCAGAAATATCAACATTATAAGTAAGAAGGAAATGAGGGGCCGGACACACGAGGTACTTTCTTGGATCCTGTACATATAACAACACTTGAGCAAGTATCTTATGTATCATAAGACATATATTTTTACGAGGAGAGTCGAAAACTTATTCATGCAAATTCAATTCGAATAAATCTTAAAAAAACAACCTTCGCAAAATAATTATTCGCTATAAAAAAAATAAAAATATTAAATATTTCACCTTTAATCCATTTTTTATGGGAAAGTAGAATATATGACCCTCGAAATGTAAAGACGTGAGTTTCGTGACGCATTACCAAAACATAAGGAGACATCAGATAGCAAGTTTGTTTTTAATATCGATCACCGCACCTGACGTCTCCTGTTGTTTTTAATTCGTTCCAAAGCATTAACCTTATACTAGACATCTCACACCAGTTTACCTGGTATTGACAAGCCAACTAGACAACTGATGTCTAGTGTATAACTCCATTCTAGTGTAAATGTCATGTTGTTTTGCACACAAATGAAACAATTTCTTTGAAAGGTGTCTCCGATAAGGTTATAGTGATCTAGACTAGTTGGTTGTCGCAGCGTAAATTACATCTAGTCCTATTGCATCCCGGAAACAGTTAAGCGTACCTCTTAAGGAAACTCATTTAAAGTTGCTGATTGGTTCTAGCGTCAGAGAAACATGACAGTAAACAAAAACTCCTAATCAAGGTACACTATTTAGTATTTTTTCCCCAAATGTAGTCGGCCATTACACGGAAGAGACAATTAACAGTAGTACTTCCTTAACATTTGGATAAGTGTAGGACAAGAGGAAGCGTCTATCTATGCCATCACGTGACACTGTTGTTAGATACAGGTAAAATCTTTGTCACTAACCACTGGCAGAGATATACATCTTATGGAAAAATGTGTTCGGATTGGTTTTCTTGACACATGCATGTGTGTTACACAAGACACAGTCTCAGTGCTTTTATGTATATTGTATGCATGGAAACTTTCGTCTAGTAAAACTTTAGTACTTCACAAGAAAAAGCGATATTAGCCACTTGTTTACTTCGCCCTTTACGTAAGATTACCATACACGGTATAATGTGTACTCGTATTAACTGCCATAACTTCGTCCTCATCACGGAGGGCGAAAAGGCAACAGTAAAACTGCAGAGAAAATTTCCCGGCATGCAGTAGGTTAGAATGGAGATTTTAATTTATTTTCTAACTAGCTAGTGGTACACACGAAACGTACAGGCAACTTTCATTTACAGTTATGAATAAATCCATGATTAGGCCAAACCCATTTATATGTTTTACATGAATGTTATTTAAAACAAGTTGGTATTCTAAGCGGAAAACATCATTTCGCTACAATATATTGTTAAGTTTATGATTATTATTTATTTTCGATATAGGATTAATATACAGAAATGTTTAGATTAAAACCGGAAGTTTTCCACATTAAGGTTGATTTGGAAGGAGAACAGGTACATCCATGTTACAGGAGCTGATGTAGTGAAAACTGTAAATTAAACAAACTCTTGTGGCATAAACAGGAACACTTCAGCTCATATCCATGTAACTTTTAATTACATTAATTTTAGAAATACAAACGAACAGAATGAAAATGAAAATGATTTATTTCATTTTATCTTTTTATAAATAAGAACGTGGGTATGCCGTACACTTATCAGCCATTGACGATCCTTGTTAAAAAAGACAACACCTTTTTGAATTATAAAACTATATCTTCAGGGAGGAATAATGAGATAGTGGCGAATTGGGATACTTCACATGTCCATAAAGTTCATACTAAAGTTCGGCTTTATACAAAGAACACCAGTGTAATGTCTCAATAAACAACACAAGATGACATAGGATCACAACGTTTATTTGTTAAAACATCACCCAACTTCATCACATAAAATTTCAAACATTAGTGTCTAAATCATGTAAATTGACAACAACATATATTTCAAAAAAAGTTAAACATTAGCTGCGTAAGAATTAAAAACAACAAAAGATCCGAAAAACTGTTAAAGTATAGATAACATAGAATGAAGGAAATGAAAAATGTTGGTCAGCGCTCGCCACTTCGATTATGAAAAAGTGTGGAATTCCATAACAGGACATCTACGATGGCACGATAATAAAACATCTTCAACAAAATTCCGTCCGCATGTTTTTCTTCTTCTTCTTCTTTAAATGTAGTATCAAAGACGTACACTATTGTTTTATACAACTTTGGCATTGTAAGTTAAAATGACTCGTCAAGGAATATGCATTTTATGAACTTTTTAAGCATAATAAATAATACATTGAGCGATAAAACCATGGTGGCGTTGGGATGGTTGTGGGTTTATTCTGATATAACAGAGCTCACAGGTCATTATCGGTAAAAGATTTAGCTATAGCTTTAGCTCTCATAATCGATCAAGGTTTAACTTAAACCACTAATGTGTTAAGTAACATACAGTTCAGTAGGCAACTGGTCGTAACTATAAATGTCAGCTGTATTCTGGTCAATCTTTACTCTCATATAAAAACAGAGCGATTATAATAAAAAAAAACATTTTTTTGTCATCACATTGAATAGAAAATAACAAAGAGAACTATTAATGAACAATCTGAGCGTTCACGTTTGACATTTGAACGTCTATGTTATGCATATAAAACAATGAAGTCACGTAAACCCAAACCAACTGAACCCGTTCCAAACAGACAATAGATATTACCCGAGTGACAAACTCACTGAAGTCTTTTCTGTAGATATCCGGTAACCCTGTTACCATCCTAAGTTGTTTGCATACCGGTACGTCAATTAATACATCTCATATGTAGTCAGTTTTGTTGACCCAATATGAGCTAGCTTTGTGTGGGAGGTCGCAATGATATGCAATCCTTGTACCCTATTTATGTAAGCCGTTTTTTTAATAACAATGTTAACATACATCTAAGTGATTTGATGAAAAATTAGATAAAATCAGTTATTGAGCGTGTCAAGAAGAAAATGTATTTACAATAAATAACAGTAATAATGAAAACAAATTAAGAAAAAAAGCATGGCTGATTGTGTGCACTACAGCAATATATTGTGCAAAAGACACAGTAAACAGATAAACAATCTAACAAATAAACGAAAATTAGTACACAAACTAAAGTATGTGACTAAAGCATCCGAGAAAATAACTTACATAATATGATAAACATATAAACAAATAATCTGGATTGAGGATATCATTCATAATTAAATACATTTTGTTCTGAGTTTGAAAATAAAAAACATATTTCAGTGATAACATGTAAAATATAATATGTTTCGAAATGTAAGTTAATATATAAATTCCTATTATAAACATATATGTACATATGTATGATAAATGCACTAAGTGTTATTATAAAACTAAATAATACATGTGTTTACGCCTTAGTAATGCCACATGTAATAAGTGTATACATATGATAATTTATATTAACATAAAAATAATCCAACAAGTACCCTGATAATAACCGCTTTTATAAAATATATTGATTGGAATGTAATATTTTGTCCATTATAATTTCATAACGTATAAAAATAATATAATCTCTATCTAGGCCAAACAAAATAAAGTTAGACAAAAACTGTTCATGGTTTTAGCTAGGTCAAAATTGTAATGTAAGTTGGAAGGTATTTATGTCTTTTCCCAAATGAATTACACGTTGTATCAATGACGAACACCTCCACGTTATCAGTGTTTGCTTAAAAATTGACATGAAATCTCTAGAGTCGTTAGTATAGATTGGTTTAGATAAATAAGGTAACCCTAAACAGAATTATTTTATTGGTCTTAAAAAACCATGTATTTAGTAGCTGTGTACAACTTCCCAGTGATAAATTACATGTTGTGATCAATGTAAATGCTATCATTTATTCCGTGGTGGTCTAAGTACATCATATAGCCAATGAAAATGTTAATTACCGCGTGCATATATCAATCAATCAACAAATGTTATCAGAAGATCATGCAGACTGTGTGACATGCCTACACAAAGTATTGATAGCTTAGTTATAGGCAATGTAATGGTTCCCGGCGTAAATATTTTGAAATTTATCAAGTAAAAGATACATAAATTAAAATCAAAATTATTACATCTAATTATATAATGTGGGGAAATCGATTTTGCAGTATAAAAAAATAATTGAACTCGAATATTAATGCCATATAGATTGTTGAATAATCATAGGTCACGGAGTACGTAACTGTCATCTTGATTGATCGTAGTAAACGTAGATTTTATAGAATACTGACCAGGAACAATGGAGTGGTTGTCACAGGGGACATAAACAAACGAATAGTTAATATTTGAAAATACATTGTGATACAAACTGATATATCTGTCGGTGTGAGCTTGTCTGTATGATATGTGTGTAAGTAATATCAACATATAGTTGTTTATGGTAAATTTATTTATAAGCAAAGCAATCACGAGCGATAATTCTTTTTTCGCTATTATCTCTGAAATTCATGTCTTAATAAGACTAAAGATTCCAGATTTGAAACATGCATAAGAAAATATTTGAAAAGCGTTTAAAAAATATTGGGACTTTGTTAATCAAATATCAATTCTTGAATTAATACTGAGGTAAATTTTCTTTTGAACGTAATACCAATTTTGGCCTGATATTCGGTAAATTTAGACTGTAAAAGAAAATGTTAATACTGTGGATTGTTGACCTTTGTCATGTTTGTGCAATTCAGTTTGTATTGAAATAGCAGCTATCAAAATAAAAAGACACTGTCTTACCAGAAAGCGTCACAAAGAGGTTCATGTCTCTCATTGAAATGGCATGCAAAATAAATTTTAAATACAATCATTGAAAACAAAATCAATTTGGATTTATAATACACAAAAAGTGAGTAAAAATACATGAGAAAACAAAGTGGTAAAAATAAACTCTATTCATCTTAGAAAAAAATCTTATAAACAATTCTGGATTTCTTATTAAATATGCAATGTTTTAGATTGCAATATCATCATAACAATCAAAGATGACACACCAAGATAAAAGATATGTATTTTTTTTTTACATATTTGCCATTAATTGTTTGTTTTCATATCACAGAAATTTCGCACATGGACACAAACATGTTTCATCGATCATGATTTAATATCAAAATAACATAAAGACCATTTATATGCTTACTATCACAGTAGTACATGATTGTTCATCTATTTAAGAATGAAGTTTTCAAAATGTTTCCATTTTACTCGATTTTAGAGCATGTGACTTCAGTCTTCATCACCTTTTTTTTTTTTAACCTTTTCAAGAATTGTTACGTCATAAATCCATAAAGTATATCAGCGTTTTCAAAAGTTTTCGTATTATCATAAATTAATATTAACGAGACTCTGTTATTATGGAAAGAAATACAATTGTTATTGAGGGTTACCATTCCTACAAAAACATAGACATCACGGCCCAATTATTCAAAGACTTGTCACCTTTAGCGATAAACTAAGACAAACCATCTATCGTGTGTAAGATCTTTTTGTAAAGTTGAAACCTAAAACCACATCTAAATAACTAACTTAAATATCAGTGTTGGAAATCTGATCATGAAGTCACACGTATAATACTTAGAAATTAATGATTTACATTTGCAACATGAAAATGTATAAACAGTGGAACCTCGAACTAATTCGAAAAACAAATCGGTATTGGCAATCAGTTGTACATTTACACAAATTGCTCTTGTAACCAAGGATTGGGAACAATGCAGAGCCTGCATTTATTCTGTTCGAAAGGCTTTATAATATATAACGTTTAGTGTACTGATTTCTATACAAAATTTGTCTAATAGGTTTTGTATCTACTCTATTAAACAGACTTCATAGCACATAACATACAGAGTTACAATCTAATGAGTTCGTTATAGTCTAATTTTGCCGTTATTAATGAGGAACATTTGTCACAATGGCTATAAACTTACTGAACTCATCATTTCCTATGAAGAGCGAAGGAAGCACTGGTCGAATACTGACCACGGATTTACCGATGCAAAATGACAATTAGACTGGATGAAAGTTCCAAGCATACAGTAAATATTCTTTGGTACTCTAAAGCAGTGCTTTTTCATTTTTTGTATTCTAAAGTTGTGTTTGTTCCTAACTGAACTTTATCTTGCCTACTGAAAATAAAAATGGATATAATACAACAATGTCAACAGGAAATATATCTATTTACATATCTTATACATTACATAATTTGCCACTATTTGCTATGAATGTTAACAAAATATCCCACACACGCAAATTGCGTATGTAAATTGCTCGAGTATATGGATTGAGGAAAAAGGCATGCAAAGTTATTTTGGCTCCTTATCTACAGGATAACCTGGGTTCGTGTTTCTACAATGATACCTTGATTGATATTACAGAAACCAAATTAAGTGACATTCTGTAATATAAAAACACTGCCGCTTTGTGTTTGAATCACTGGTTTACTGACACAATGTCATATTCCATCAAATGATCCAACCACCATTGATCATGTTTAATTCACCCCTGGGAATTTGGGTATGTTGTAAAAGACCAGACGGTATAACAATTACCCCATGAGAACCGGAACTTTCTTTTGTGTCTTTTTATGTGTGTGGACATAATGAATGGAATGCTGTCCCCATTCCAACACTTGCAGGAACCTCTATCTTTCATTCTCTCTTACAATTTCCATTTCCATTCTGCAGTATTTTCATTGGCCACTATACTAGCCTGATGTCAGAATTTTGTGACTGACTAAGGTGTCATGTTACACTATCCAAGTTATGACATATCAGTGAAATGACCTAAGATGTAGCAAAGATGTAGTAAAGACCAAAAACCCATGGAAAAGGTCTAGAATACATTAGGAAACGATAACTGAAGGCGTTACCTTTTCTGATGTCGCCAACCTTTGGACAAATTCTTGTATTATATAAAATATATTACCTGATTCGCATTTTGTTAATACTATTTGTACTTTAATAGTTTAAGTTGGCCACAGATTTACTTTGACAGATACTATCACTATTATTTCTTTTTTAAATAGAAGCAGTTATTCGGTTTGAAGATAATTTTGTTTATGTTTTATCTTCATAACGCCGAGTCATCAATATTGCACCGACACCAGACACATATAACTGTATACTGCTGCATACTAACTGTTGACGGTTTAGTGTTGCGCTCTTGACTCTGAAACCAAGTCGAACCGGCTAACATATCCGTTTCCGTGTGCGACAACCAACTGTGGATTGTTGAGACCTACAACCATGAGACGGCGTGGATTGGACATTTCAGTTCCACCGGAAATACAACCCCTGTAACGCCCACGAGATGACAAAACATGGAGGCTGTTCTTTTTGGCATCTGACACCAGAACAAATCCCAGAAAAGGATGAACAGCCACACCCTGGGCGTCATCGAGAAACGAGTTACGGAAACCTTTGTAGACCTCCAAAACCGTTCCATCCGTTTTAATGAAAATGGCAGCGTTCTTGTTGTTATCAACAACCACTATGGTATCCTCGCCAACAATCCCGATTGATCGCGGATATGCGAAAATGGCGGTGTTATTGGCATCGTCGTGAAATGATTTCAGAACCTTCCCGTCCATAGTTACAATGGCTACATGTGGTCTACCAAACTGTGGACAACATCCACAGATCAATAAGTCCTTGCGCTTGTGATACTGGATACAGGAATATCCACGAGCTGTTGATATCCTTTTTTCCAGCTTAAGTTTTGAGCCATGTCTGGATGCGATACAAATTTCGGAAGCTTTTGGTACAGTCACAGCACATCGGGTATCCGACAGGCCAGTAACATCCCAGGGTTCAAAGGTTCCAAAGAACAAGACGCTCTTCACTGCTCTACACTTTAATAGTTTCAGTTTGAAATTCCAACGATCAACTACGACAGTATATTCTGCCATGTTGGATATGCCTACCAATCCAGGTGGTCTTTCGTCAGCGGATATTGATGTGTTACAACGACCGACAAACTTGAGACTGAAGGGTGGTGTGTATTTCTTTTCCCTGAAGCGGTGACTTGGCCTGTGATCTGTGTCTTGTACTGGTGCTGAAGTCGGTCTTGGAGATCGTCGACCCATGGCAGGAGATCGTCTTGCAACACCATGCGGCTGATTAATTTGCGGATATAACATAGCTGTGGCAGCTTGTCTCTCTGTGACACCAGATGGAGTGAGGGACATTGAAGGCAAGGGAGGTGCAGATGGACTGGAGTTGGCTGTAGATGGCAAGCGGAGGGCTGGATGAACTGGTTCAGTGTTGCCGTGCGGCTCATTCAACTCCGCATAAAACCGACTCCTGCCACCAGCTACTACGTTCCCTGTAGCGGGATCAGAACCAGCTTCCTGGAGTGATGTAGAGCTTCCTGATGAACCAATAGAATCAGGCGAATGTCGTCGTCTGTAGCGCTGCACCTGACGCGGAGTTTGTTGGTCGTCTAGGGCTCGGGAATGTGAATCATTCTTCCCTTCTAAACTCGAACCAGATGACCTACGCATTGGCACGTTTTCTCTAGGTTGATAGACTGTCACGGAAGGTGGACTGACATTGCTTGAGTCACGTCCAGACATAGTCGGGGTATGCTGACTGTGGACAGGAGTGATTGGGTATCCCGGTACTCTTGGCACAGACAGATTCTGTGGTAGGCCTGGATATGGCGGTGGGGGCTCTTCCTCGTATGCCGGAGCTGCTACAGTGCTACTTATGGGTGCACTGTTTGTATTTCGCAATGGCGGGTGGCTCAATACATCAGCAGGAGCACCAGGTGCACGAGATTGCTCAGCTGTAGTGGCATTGTTTTCCTCATCGTCATCGTCGTCATCTGATTCAGACGATGATTCTTCTGATTCAGAGGATTCTGAGCTTTCAGAATCAGAGGCGTCTGATTCACTATCGTCTGCATAAGCAACATCTGGTTCCTCAGAAGTAGAAGGCCTTGTAGATGATGCTTGCGATGATACCGACTGACGACTCTGTAATGTGTGTCTTGCAGTGATGAGTTCAATATTGACCAAATTACAATTAGTTAACATATCTTCCAGATCCGTGTTGATCATAAACCTCATTTCAAACTGTTCGTCCGCATAGGTCTTCATCTGACTACACATGTCAGAGTATTCAGTTATAGTGCGTTTAACTTCATGGAGGTCAGAGTTGACCTCAGAATTAGGGTTGTCTCCGCTATTTATAGATGCAGATGATAAGAATTCCATCTCCTTTTCGTCTACTTTCTCCATCAAGTTTGTACAGTTAAGAACATCTTGTTGTAGGTGTTGCGATTCTCTCTCTGTCAGAACTTCAAGCTCTTGTTGGATCTTCTGTTCCTGTTCCAGAAGATACTTCCCAACTTTAATCTTAATGTCTGCAAAGTATTTTGCAACTTCTAATGCTGTTTCTTCCTTTTTAACCAGAAGTTGTCTTTCCTTTGGCAGGAGTGTTTTATGAAGATCCTCAAATTCTCTTTTTGTGTCTTTCATATTTCTCTTAATAAGTTTGATGATACTCTGTATATCACTCTCTGGGGCTTCCATTCTGGAGCTGCCAGTTTGTGTTGCATCTTCAGCATTGGGTTCAGCTGTTACAGTTGTTGGTTCAATTGGCAAAGCAACCGTTTCAGAAAGAGACGAAATAGACGAAGGCGATGTTTCTGGATTCTGGGCGCCAGACTGTAAACACAAATTTCTGGGCAGTGCATCAGGATCCTTGGATTTTTCGGGGCCCTTTGTTAGTGTCACAAAATCTCGGGCGGGTTCTGTTGATGGTTCAAACTTGGAAAGTTTGGCATCAACAGGATGCTTTGAAGTTGGCGACACCTCCTCCATGTTTGATCGACATCAAATGTCCAATAAATCCGTGAAAATCGAATGAATGGTGGCACTGCAGTACCTCTTTGGTGTCATTTCATCAATCTAAAAACAAAAACAAACATTGCATTATACATATACTTTTTTACGAACAGTGGGTTCTTTCCTGCAGAGGCCTGACACAGATTCCCTATTCACGGTTCGTAAATGTATATTATATATTCATATATGTGTGCAGGGGATCTGTACCAGGCCAACGTTTTTTTTCTCTATTTTTTCTTCTTCTAAAATTACAACTTGAAGACATTAAGAGCTTGCTGATGTTCAATAAAATGTTTGTTAATAAAGTGAATATTGTCTTAATATCCTTTCTTTATAACATCTGATGGAAGGAAAGTTCTGTTAGTGTAAATTACAGATAAGGTTATTGTGAAAACATAGGCATGGCAGAAATTATTAGTCCGAGTAATGTAACAAATTAACCCCCTGTACATGTTTTTTTTCTGTGGAATTCCACTTGTTTTTTTAATTTTTTGCCTTTATCGGAAACAAAATTGGATTGTACGTCACATAAACAATAAAAACATATACAAATTTGTTTGAATTTTTACAGGCTAAGGAATATTTCTCACTAGTTTCTGCAGCTATGGTAACATTAAAGTTACCAATGACATATGCATTTCTGATTGAAATGAACATTTCACACTCAATGCTGTTTAATAATTACCACATCATAGCAGACACAGTACCTATGTGCTTGCCTTGCTGTATATTAACTGTGCAAGTCACATGTGTATTAAGCGAAAAAAATGTGTTTAAGATTCCAAATTTGACCTATCTTGAGCAGGTTCGATGAAAGAATAGACATATTAATTGTATTCCACTGAATGTCATAAGAGGTGACTAATGTGGATCCCTTACATAACCGGGGTTTCCTATAGAATCTTCTACTATACGAGGACATGAGATAGACCAAAATTGATCGACAGCCCCATCACTTGGGATCTGTTTATTTTATTTTCTCTCCTACATTGTACCAATTTGTTTCTCTCCCTTGGGGCCCGTCCTAATATGACCCCAACAAACAAATTTTATATATCTGACCCCAGAATTTTTTGGCCTGAACTTAAAGGAAACTCGGGCTAACAATGAACGTGTGTAGAATAAGTGTTCTAATCTACTTAATGTGTTATGGTTACTCTTAACAAACAGGTTATTTACGAAGTGTCTGTACGCGTGAGCAAACATAATCAGGGTGTGGTGCATACTGTAGACCATCATCTGACCATCTAGTTATATCAAAAGACTTCTTGCCGAAAGTTATAATATTCTGGCTGTAGTTATCTGGGTAGAGGGCTATACATTTTCCTCATATCAAGTTCAAGTTCTTTATTAGCTCATCAGCTCATCATATTAATGACCTTGATCTTGACATAATTTTTAAAATATCTTGGAGGTTAAATACCCTAAACACTTTTTCATTTTAAATATCTAAGGAACAATAAGATTTATTATCCATTATATTGTGTTGTGGTTAATTATAAATGTACCCTTTTAATGCTGACTCATCATTATACATTTGAAATGTAATATGCATCAAAACTTTTAAAAACTGCTTTTTAAATTCTATAAGGGTAATGATATTTGTCCAGTATGTACTTGGGGTAGATAACCATAAATTTGCCTGAAAATGAACTTGACCTATATAGTTACTTTTAAAGTCACAAGAATAAAACATAAAAATGTAAGATACTATCAAAAGAGCTATATAACAGCAGTGTGAAAGTTTTTCTTGATATATTGTGGTAAGGTCATTTTTAGAGCAAATATGAGTCAAAGATCAAAATGGGCTATGAAAGATAAATAACTATAATTACATTCCATATAGTGCAAGGTTGTGAAATTTGGCCAGCATAGATACTTGAGATTATGTGCTAGAAATCTCCACACATAAATGACTTTGACCTACTTTCAAAGAACCTGAGGTCAAATATGACAAAACTTTCAACAGCTTTTTAACAGTTTGAACTTTAAAGTTGATCGTTGTTGCTGGAGTATAACAGCTCATATGATGGAATGAAAATATTCAATTTCAAACAACATGCAACTTTCAGTTCACAGAAATTGTTCAGTGGTGTACGTAAGCTCATCTAACATGCAAACAAGTATGTTGAGTCTCTATATACATGACAACAGTCCTGGTGAGTGGACCTCTTGTGTTTGACACTTATATACAACACTTTGGTAATATGTCTGTCTTTTATTACTTTAATGAGTAATTTTCAGGTAGACAACAAATATCTGCAATGGTTTTAATATATATTTTTTCATCAATACATGCACAAATTGGGAATATGTCAATATGAGTGAGATTTTAAGTGTTTATAATTAGGCTGACTAATACGTGCCAGTGCACTTCATGATAACTCAGGAGAGACAACCCATACATATATGTTAGACCATATAATACAATTTCAACTGTTAATTTCTCTCAAATCAAAAATTAAAAAAACAAACATTTTGAAGACGTATGAAGGTTTACGTGTGTATTTCCTTTAAAGTGGGCAGTTACAAAAAAGGAAGAAAATTTTAAGAACAGTAAGTTTATAAAATTGTGATAACTAAACTATATCAGAATTAGATGTTGATACCAATCATTATATAAAAATTCCTATGGTGTAACAGATATGTCTTATCTAACGTTCAATGTGTAAGTAGCCATGAACTAGATTAAAAGTACTACAATTTATTATATTTCATTCATCAAAAGTATGGCACCAAATAGTAGAATGTTTGGGGTAAAATTCATCAGTTTGGTGAGGATAATGAATGCTAAGCTTGTTTAACCCTCTAACACAAACAGTAAGTGAAAACTTATTTTGTGAGCTTTCAATCGAGTAGAAGGATTGACTGTTTTCCTCAATTCTCCGCATTGGACAACATGGACCACTGGTGTTAAATTTTTTCAAGAGTTACATGAACAACTCATGATCAGAATGGTTGGACAGTAGAAACAAAGAATGCCCCTGACAGGCAAATACACTTTGAAAGGGATTAATTAGATCAATTATAACAAAAAGCTTTTTTATTCAGTACATGAGGTACACCAAGTGTGCTTTATTCATGTCTTCAAACAAATCAATATTTAACACTAGACTGAGGAGTCAATGTCCTCAATTATTGTGTTTTATGTGTAGATCTGACTTTTTATTGGATGACTAAGGCTGTCACAATATAATGGAAAACTAGTATACGTACATGCATATGCCATTTATAATTACCATATTACAACAGGCTATAGCTACAGGTGAGAATTAATTACAATGTATGTATGTTCCATTCAGTGGTATATCAGTTCACAAGGCCAGTACCTGGGGTGATAGGGGCTAGTGAATATTCAAATATCTGACAAGTAGAAGTTGGAATTTGCCCGCAGTCTTATACTCAAAATCTAAAACGACACATCCCTAGCCATATGATATCAGATTCGGTATTATGATGTATTTGGTAACAAGTTCTCCTGCAATAACACATAGAGTATACGTATCCCGATACAATACACCAGAACAGGCACAAATAATGTATAGTCAAATTTATTCAGTGTGGGGGTATTTGATGAGTCATGTAACTGGATCAATTGTTGGCGACCAAATAGCTAAATTGAAAGAGCAACCATCTAAGAGTTCGGAGGGTTCCCGGGTTTTTTGAATCCTGGTCTAGATCTGACCATGCATTTTTCCATCTCCTGTTTTACTAATAACCCTCTCTTTGCCACTGTGGTGATGTCTTTACCTCATTATGTCAACATATATATTCAGAGCACAACTAACTCCTACTGTGATTGGAAGTTGAACGATCTATTAAATATCTCCATATGCATTAAGTTTATTTATAATCCATGCATAGCACACACAATAGATGGTTATAATTGCTGAATAGAAAATCTTCAATATATTCCTTGTCATTTAAGATAAACTGTACACCAGAACAAGAAGAAAGTTTTAAATGAACTTGCATAACAGACATTGGTCCTGTAAGTACAATCAGATACAATGTAAACAAAGCAGTCTTACCTGTTACCAGATCACATGTACATGTCTGGTATATCATCAACTGTGGTAGGATGTGTGAAATTACTGCAGTGTACAAAACACAATATTGTTGTACAGTCTTTTTCATTTTTGATCACACAACTGTATAATATGTAACAGGAGAAAGAGAAAATGAAACAGCCAGACCAGGGTTCGAACCCGGGACCCTCTGAACTCTAGACAGATGCTCTTACCAATTGAGCTACCTGCTTTAATTGTCTCAAGCGATAGACCCAGTCCAGTTCCGCTACTTGTCTCCCTCCTTTAACAAAGTCTTCAACCCCGAAGACACACAAGACCCTAAACCACCTCCTGCAGGTATATTTATGTTCGGCACTTAAGTAACAGGAGAAAGAGAAAATGCAATGGCCACACCAGGGGTTGAACTTGGGACCCTCCGAACACTTAGACAACACTCTAACTAATTGAGCTACCTGGAGATGGACCCAGTCAAGTTTTACAACAAATATATTGACAATATTATACACGTCAACAAATCATATTAGCCTCAATTCCTCTGATCCCCAACAACATATATCAGACTTTTGACAGATGTATGATGTTGCGGTAAACTTGGGCTTGAATTACACATATTGTTTGTGTCCGACTGTTCTGTGATATATACAACTTTACATTTACACCTATAGCTAACCACCCCATTGATACAGTACAGTGGAATGGTCAATATTTCCTCAACAAGATCTACAGTCTCATACTACAGGAACCTGAAGTTTTTTTCATAAATCAATAATAACGATTTTACAACAAAAATACTTATAATGTGCTTAAAAATTAAGCATACAATATAGGTATTTTTTGTATTACTGTCATAACTAATTTTTGACAGACGAACATGCTGCAGTATTTACTGGACCGAATGTAACTTTTGTCTTCATTTAAGGACAATTTCGCAATGCGGTTTTTTTAATGGACGGGATGAAATTCGATCGTGCAGGACTGACTTCCTGACGCTAATCAGTAAATGCCGATAACAGACAGACAGATTGTTGACATTGGTTGGTAGATAGGGGAGTTTCACTTCCAGCAACAAGATCCTGTGTCTCTAGTACTCAAATCTTGAGCAGAAAACGTAAAGGAACCAAGGTTAAGAGAAATACAGTAAAAACATACAGTTTCAATAATGACATACAACCCTTACCTGTGTGTAAGTCTTTCACAACAATATTACTGACATACCGGAAATAAACAAATGGATAAGGTATATACTAATGTCCGGATTTACATTGAAACGGAAGTAATAAAATATGTGCGCGGCAAATACTAGTTTACGGATTCGCATGGACAGGGACAATATGATCCCTGTCGTGATCCGCGCATGTGTTTTATGTACAAACTTTGATAGTTACTTCAATCTGTTAATGTAAGCTGTAAGACTTTACCTATAGAATACTGTTCCAGAATCTTAATAGATTTATTTTCATTGGTCACTTTCCGACTGGTCACTTCTGGCTACGCCCCCTGGTTGGCGCCAGTTCTATCTATTCATCTATAGCTACTGGATAACCGAACGACTCGGTAGGGAAGCAGACATACTTAAACAAACAAACAAGTTCTATCTATTCACTTTTTGAGACAACACACGAGTTCTCACTAACGATTTAGAAGAATGGACGATAATGTAGATAGCACGGACAGTAAAACGTAGTAAATAGAAGTGATAAATACACAAAAACAGAAACTCCAAGATCGGACGATTCCGACAAGTATAATGAGAGTATTGACAGTAGACATAGATCTAGGACGGCCACAAAATTAGAGTTGAGTGCAAAAGCAGGTGACAGGGTAAATCATCCCAAGGCATAACTGTGAATAAAACTATTGAGTTCAGTGACCTCAGCTTCCGGTAATTTGTTGCCGGAGAGCTAGAGGTGATAGCCCGAGCCTCCACTACACACAAACAGGCCAGCAGAACAACATTTCTAACGAAAGTTACTTACTTTTCCAATATAAATGAATAAAAGGCCTTGTTGGCATGTTATGCTGAGTGGTTAAGAAAGTTCGAGTTGGGTGAGAGTAGGTGGATGGACGATCCATCAACTATTTAAGTGCCAATACTGGCCAAGCATGTGTTAAACCAAGATTCAAAAGCGAAAAGTTCTGGTGAAAAAGAGCACAAGATTCAGAATGTGCAGGAGTGAAAAGGCATTTACTACACACATGTGTCACATGCTGGAAATAAGATGGTGTGAAGTGGGTGCACCAAGAGTGCTAGCCCGAGTTTCCTCTGGCCCTGACACCAGACTTAGACATTTTGACACCAGACATCTATCTGACAAAATGTCTAGGTCCAGACTAAACTCGGGCTACCAGAGTGTATGTCTTATACACTATGACTAGGGAACAGAATCAAGAACGAGGTTAAAACAGAGGATTGTTTTATGCCAAGTTTCGTTTTATTTCCCGAGTTAGATGGTCATGAAGATGACCTTTTTTTTAAGGTATAACTTTAAACGCCTCGAAGAAAATTGATAGCTTCAGTGCTCATAACAAGTAAGCAGGTCCAAGTTTAGGTAACTGGGTGTAGAGAACAGAGTTTTAGAAGGACATAGTGCTGTTAAAGCAGCAGGTGCTAAGATTCCAGTGGTTTTTGGTATAAATGTCCAATTTTTCAGGGATAAATCGCGAGAATTTGGAAATGTACACATTTTTGACCTGTTGGAGTATGGTTTCCCTATATACCTACATAATATATGAACCCAGTAGGAGATGGAGTCAGATCCCTTGGAATCATGGTGGGGAGGGGGAGGCTCGGTAATTCCCGGAGGACATGTATAGTTATACATATGTATATAGAGCAGGGAATTGCTTCAGGTAAATAAAATGGTCCTTTTAAGGTTCAAGTTACTAGAAAACTGTGGTCTTACAGATTCAAAGATTAAGTCAGTTGCCCCGTCCCAAAGAATGTGTATGCTGTGTTTTTTTATCTGACTCGAGATGACATTGGAGGTTCCAAAGGAGCGACTGCAGGAGAAATCAGGGCTCGTTAGAGAATGGCTCGGTAAGGAATGTGCTAGCTTTAATGAGTTCCAGTCACTATTGGGCAAGTGGATTTTTGTCGCTTCTTGTGTTAGACCAGGTCGTCTTTTTGTGAGTAGGTTGCTCAACTGGTTAAGGTCGTTACATCAGGAGCAATCTGCTTCCGTGCCTATTCCAGAAGAAATACAGGAAGATATGTTATGGTGGCAGATGTGTCTAGTACAGTACAACGGGGTGTCTATGATGGCGGTAGAGAATTGGAGTCTCCCCGACGGTGAGTTTGTCTCGGATGCTTGTCTATCTAGTTGTGTCGGGTTTTTTCAGGGGTAAATATATTTCCACGCACATTGTTGGTACCGAAAATAGGATTCGCGATCACCTCTCCAGATGCCATCTTAGTTAAAAACATAGGGATACGTTTTCTTAGTTAATCCGAGGATTGGGGATGGTTGAAGTTCAGTAAGTCCAGAGTTAGTTTCCTTTGTACATAGATGGTTGGATTGTGTGTATTCTTTTACCCAGTCCATTCATTTCATACCCGGCCTTGTCACCTTGAGGAGTTAGCCCATTTAATGAGATCGGCCTTCGCCGCAGGCACCCATAGGAATATCCATACTCAATGGAAATTATTTTTCTTTTCTTTGTGAAGCCTTTACGTTTGAACCGTTACGCACAGATACAGATAANTCACGAGCCCGGCGTCCTACCACTGGACTACCGTGCCTCCCTCGGTCACGAGCCCGGCGTCCTACCACTGGACTACCGTGCCTCCCTCGGTCACGAGCCCGGCGTCCTACCACTGGACTACCGTGCCTCCCTCGGTCACGAGCCCGGCGTCCTACCACTGGACTACCGTGCCTCCCTCGGTCACGAGCCCGGCGTCCTACCACTGGACTACCGTGCCTCCCTCGGTCACGAGCCCGGCGTCCTACCACTGGACTACCGTGCCTCCCTCGGTCACGAGCCCGGCGTCCTACCACTGGACTACCGTGCCTCCCTCGGTCACGAGCCCGGCGTCCTACCACTGGACTACCGTGCCTCCCTCGGTCACGAGCCCGGCGTCCTACCACTGGACTACCGTGCCTCCCTCGGTCACGAGCCCGGCGTCCTACCACTGGACTACCGTGCCTCCCTCGGTCACGAGCCCGGCGTCCTACCACTGGACTACCGTGCCTCCCTCGGTCACGAGCCCGGCGTCCTACCACTGGACTACCGTGCCTCCCTCGGTCACGAGCCCGGCGTCCTACCACTGGACTACCGTGCCTCCCTCGGTCACGAGCCCGGCGTCCTACCACTGGACTACCGTGCCTCCCTCGGTCACGAGCCCGGCGTCCTACCACTGGACTACCGTGCCTCCCTCGGTCACGAGCCCGGCGTCCTACCACTGGACTACCGTGCCTCCCTCGGTCACGAGCCCGGCGTCCTACCACTGGACTACCGTGCCTCCCTCGGTCACGAGCCCGGCGTCCTACCACTGGACTACCGTGCCTCCCTCGGTCACGAGCCCGGCGTCCTACCACTGGACTACCGTGCCTCCCTCGGTCACGAGCCCGGCGTCCTACCACTGGACTACCGTGCCTCCCTCGGTCACGAGCCCGGCGTCCTACCACTGGACTACCGTGCCTCCCTCGGTCACGAGCCCGGCGTCCTACCACTGGACTACCGTGCCTCCCTCGGTCACGAGCCCGGCGTCCTACCACTGGACTACCGTGCCTCCCTCGGTCACGAGCCCGGCGTCCTACCACTGGACTACCGTGCCTCCCTCGGTCACGGGCCCGGCGTCCTACCACTGGACTACCGTGCCTCCTAGATAGCATATGCCTTCTCATAGCATAGATTATATTCGTAATTACGTAAGTAGGGTTAAAGCTCCATCTCCTCTCAGATGTACCCTTTGTCGTGAGACAATACGAAGTCAATCTAGCCCTGTTTTAGCTCGACTACACCCCCATCTTCCCCATAGGGTCGCACCCATGACCCGCATATCCCTTTGAATATCTTCTCAGTCATAGATCATAGGGATGTACGCTAGTTATTTTGTGTTTGTTTCTTTCCACCTTTTCCCTGTTAGTCAGAAAACCTAATCTAGTGTCAGACTCCATTAAATCACTTGATCCCAGCAAGCAGTTTTTGCGTCGAGGCATTCTGTCGGACGAGTACCTGCTTAATTTCTGTCACAGACTCTAACTGTGCCCAGTCAAGGCCTAACATAACATGTGTATTGTAAATCCTTCAAAGGCCAGCAGGGCAGCCTTTCAGTTACAGGGGAAAGGTAAGTGTCACCCTAACAGCTACCCGGTGTTTCACACTGTCTCTAGAAAGTTCTATCTAAGGCAGAGTATGAACCATCTCTGTTCTCCTCTCATAGTTTGCCAATGGCAGGTGCTACCTGGGCCTTTAGCTGCCAAGTTCCAGGGGAGACTATTCAGCCCATGGGAGATTGGTCTAGTGACGCATATATACAAATGTTTTCTGGGGTTTTCACTTGAAGATAAGTTATCAGTAAGCAGTCACATGAGATTCGATCCTCAGGGTACAGACATCCGGGTAGGAATCCTTTCGTGTGTGGATCATTTTTGGGGGGACGGATGCCCTAGGGTTCATACCCATAACTCGTAAAAGTCGTTCGTTTGAAAACACGAATTATCCAAAAATGCAAACTAAAGAAAACAAATCACGGGTCTGAGATCGACTATCTGACCCATATCATCGCGTTCACAACTCAGGGAGGTGAAACCATTTGTTCTAGGAATGTTTATAAAGGAACATGCTGCAGAAATGTAGGCATATGTTTATAAATTACTTTCTGGTCTGACCAATCATTATACTCTACAAACTCCCAATTTTTGTTTTCTACATAAATTGAATCACACAATTCTGATAAAAAGGTTTTCTGGTCGGATTATCGATACATTGTTATTGGTATATCCCAGACTATTTAATGGATATACCCTGGAACTAACAGTTACGTTTTATTGTTAAAACATTTTGATTATATGATATATATTGTACCAAACGACAACTTTCCATTACATTGATAGTGCGCGCAGCCAAAGATGTTATCCTCCCTCATAGACATTGTCTGATGGGGACCAGATTTGCTAATTTTGCTCTAATTAGTGCGTGCAGGCGTCGCCACCCAACGGACACTGTCAAATGGATATTGCGAGGCTTGCGCGTGCATAAGGGGTTTTGTGAATATTAAGCCGTGCGCGATCACAATTCGGTTACTCTGTTTCGGACCAATAACCAAAAAGTTAGGAAAGGTGGCGCCCCCGGTTGATTCGGTGATATTTTGAATAAGTTAAGTTATATTTTGGGTCATTAAGGGTAGTCTTTATATATTTTTGTAGTTAATTGAAGATTTTTTCTATTGTAAACAAACCTGGTCGTCAGAAAAACCTAGTGTTTGTGTATAATAACTTCCTATATTTTTAATAAATTGTTCCTTTAGTGTTAGCGAACTTTATATCACTGTTCTAGTCTTTTGTTATATTATGAGGTTAGATACAATACTCGTTAAACAATGTAGAGAGTCAGAAAAAAAGTCCGTGGAAAACCACACTATACGATCATAGAAGAGCCAATCGGGAACCATCGGCACTTTCCGTAAACGAGAAAATTACGGAAAGTACCGACGGTTCCCGTTTGATAGAAGAGCGTCGGGCTAGACCGGGACTTGGGATAAACTGCCGCTAGTGACGCGTCTTTTCTACTTTTTGCATATCACTGTCCTGTCGACGGTAGTACAATTCTCTCACAATCATCCGATGTCAATATGCTATTGAGAAAACTTATAGACGGCATAGTAAATATCCATTTGCATTAAACAAAAAAATCAATAGCCATGGATATTCTATTCATCAAAAAGCTTATTGAATGGAAACTTCAGCAATTTTTCAAGGCAAAGAAGTCTGGGAAATAAGAAGACTGGAATAAGTACAAATGCAACAAACAGTAAAAGCAGAAAATGACAAGACATGCCCATTTTGACTATACTAACACCGTCATTGAGAGAAGTTTTATTACAGAAAACAAAACTATTCTGGAAATACATCAAGGCATAGAGAACCGACAATGTAGGTATAGCACCACTACTGAAGGATGATGATACATTAGTTTAAAGGCTGAAATACTTAATGACCAATTGAGATGTTTTCACCAAAAGATAAGCCAAACCAGGACCTTTCGGATCCTAGTTTTTCCAACTGCATCTTACCCGGACATAAAAACATCAACAACATAACCCCGACAGGTGGTGAATCCAATGTGCCACGCGGTTTACCTTCAATGGTTACACTAGGAAATCCAGTGTGACAACGATGATGGAACGCCTCCAACTCACAGCTCTTGCTGATTGAAGAAAACAGTACATGGCCTGGTAGTGATCCCCCCTGACCCCCTTCACTGAACCCAAAAATCAACGACTTCAAGATAGCCAAAAACATTCTGAATCACTCAAAATCATCAGAGTAGGCAGTGAATAATCTAAAAACAGTTTCTTTTAAAGAACTATGTCACAATGGAACATACTAGCGTCCGAAACGGTGCTTACAAAAGACACCCAAGAATTTCAACGTTTAAAATATACCAATATATATACAACACACAGTCGTGGTGCAATCAATTAAAATTCATCGGCGATAAACACTGGAAGCTAACATAATTTGAATCGAAATGTGCGACGTAAAAGCAAAATAAGTATCTAAATGAGTGCGAGAAAACATTTATATGGATTGATGCTGAGCCATTGTTTTATCATTTGTTGTTTCATGAGAACAAAATACTTGAAGTAGACAGTAACAACCTTGTCGTAGCCATACAAGTATGATGTTTTTTATTTCCCTTTGGCTGTTACGCGGACGTTAAACCCCGATAACATATTGATGCTATCATCAGTATTAAATAATTAAATGAGATATACTTAATGTATTTAAATCTATTGCTACTTGAATTTTAGATATCGTTATTTCTTTAAGATATATATGTCTATTACAATTAAAGATATCTCAATTTCATTAAAAAATATCTCTGTTTGAATGAAAATATTTTTATTCTTTTAACGATATCTGTTACATTTAAAGAGATCTCTAATACTTTTGCAAACCCTCTGTTGGCATTTCATGTTAAGCTGGCCTGTATTTAAGTACGACATACCGATGAACTGATTTTGCACACTCCAGATGTTGACAGCACTTATTGGATTTCGAGTACATTAGGTAAATGCATATGTAACTAGTACAGGATTTTACATCCCTTTGGTATATTTAATTGTACAAAATAAACATTACAACCTGCTATATATTTTCCTTATAATGTAGCTTTAAGTAATGCAACAGCTGCTAACAAGTTTTACGGACAGGAATATATGTTTCTGTACAGGATTTATTGGCATACTTAAGATCAGTTGTCAAGGCTCGAGAATACGCTAGATAAATGACATTGAAATATAAAATTTGAATTATCATACACATACTCGCATATTAATATTTTGATATAATTCGCGTCATATTTCCCACTGTATGTTAGCATGAGAGGGGACTAATGTGGGGTCCTGTGCATCAAGGGGTTTCTTCTATGGCTTTTCACTTACGCAATATTGAAGACAAATGATCGACTGCACCCGTTGCAACACTATGGATCGATACCTTTTCATTTCCTACGTCTCTACTCGTTTTTTTCGGCGTTCTCTCCATTCAAGCAGCCGTGCTATGTTCGGCGTTGTCTCTCCATGCAGCCGTGTTCATAAGAACTAGGCTACTTGGCTGTTGCGAGGACAATACACCCCCCCCCCCCCCCCCAAACAAACAAACAAACAAACAAACAAAAAACAAAACAAAACGATCAAACAAAAACCCAATAAAACAAAATCATAATTATTTACACCGTGAACAAAACATGAATCTTTTAGGATTAAGCCTCGAGATAAACAAAGAAAAACACAAACTCATCAATAAAATTTTCGAGGATAGAAAAAAATGCAATCCGTATTAAAATTTTGTTGAATATTTGACCTAATGTTTCAGCAAGTTTAACAATGTGGTACAACCTGACCCCGTTTGTGAGCTCGAGGCTGTTAACATTATACCCACACGTCACGCACCAAAGGGTCCTACTTAGTGTATAAATAAATGCTTAACACAGTTACTATTTCTGGAATAGACATTTTAATTTTGTTTATGCAAATCATCACAGAATATGACAGTATAATGCATATATATTTATAAATACGCACTCTAATAGAGAAATATACCATTTTCCCTTCTTTATAACCCGATATACAACCAACGATTTGTACGCCAAATCGTCGTCCTATAAGTAAGAGAAACCTCACAGGAAGATTTTCTCTGTTTGGTTTCAATCTATGGGCTGTGTATACTTGACCGGCATTAGTATTGCCGGGGATTTCATTAAATGATTATTCAGTATATATATATTTATTTGCAACAAGATATTTGATAAAGAAAACAAGGCGAACTTACAGCTTGCATTAAGAATAATTTTACATATCTTCAGTTTGGAAATATGTTATATCACAGTTTTACCTTCTACACAAACAATGTACGTAATAAACTTGTCACAACGTTTTAAGACCGACTGGTCTCTTTGTCAAACTATGACAAAGGGATCAGTTGGTCTTGAAACGTTGTGACACGTTTACTGCATGCATTGTCTGTATAAAGTAAAAGTTTGATTTAACTTTACATATCACACATACAACATATATATATAATATATTCTGTCTTGTTCATGTAACAACTGGACGTAATTTCTTAGCACGATCTTTGATAAACAAATATTTTTCATATTCTGTGGTGTTAATTTGTTGTGGATGATGATTAGATAAATCACGAATTCTATGCAATATCGAAACTTTGTGTTCTTGCATAAACTATTTGTGACTATGTTAACGGTTTTAGGTAGAGAGCCTCGCCATTTGTTTAACTGTATATCAGATTTGTAAGCTATTTTCATGTTTTATTCAATATACAGGTAATAATAAAAATAACTGTAGTTACAGGAAATACATTTTGTACAGCAAATATATATTTTTTCGGTGTCTTACATTTTCCTGCTGTAAATTGGCAAGCAACCCAATGTCAGAAAAATGTATAACTTATTGGAGCCCTCCCTCGTAACTCACCGATACTCTTTAACTGAATATGATTTACTGTATTATTAAACAGCATCTGATCGATTTTCTTGCAAATGTTCGCTTTGTTTATCAGTAGTCTTATTACAAGCGCGTCCAAAACGTCGAACAACGTATCTGGTAGCAGCGACGAGGATGGCGAGGAAGAAGAGGATGAGACATGATTCGATGAGCAACACATAACAGAACCATATTAGTCTTTCATGTTCCATCAGATGTCCAAGTAACACCGGATTGAGAGCGCCACCTAACATCATCGTTGTGTAATAAAAGGACGATATCCTACCTGTCACAGGTGTGATATAATCATTGGTCCAGCTGAATGTCAGGGGAAAGAGGCACGACTTTACAAACCCAAACAAAGGAGCAAAGAACCAAGCTAAAGTATCAAACTTATAGAGCGATATCAGCAGCATTCCCAGCACCGACAGACACAATAGTACAAAGTTCACCACTGTAAATATAACGGTATTCATCCACTTTTCGATTGCTATACCAAATATACGTGAAATGAAGATTAGAACAAAGAAAACAAATGTAAGTAAAGCCCCTTCCTTTTTGGACCAATGGAAAAACTGGACACAGTAAGTGGCTAGAAACCCAGTAAAAACTTCATCAACTCCGTTGAATATGAATAATATTGAGCCAAACATGGAGAGAATAAAAAGTTTGACGTTTTTCGGAACCTTTCGTTGGCTTTCGGAATCATCAGAATTACTCATCAGTCGATTGATTTGCTTTCTGTCATATTTAGCATACATCACGAAAAAGAAAATGCCGGACAAAAGAGACAGTACCGCTGTGATTGAGAAAGGTATGTAAATTTGAGATTCCTTGCTTTGTGAGACTGATGGTGAACTAAGTTCATCCGTAAAATTATTGTCTATTGTATATAATGGCGTCGACGACGATATATTCACAATTTCTTGCGGTAGTTCGATTAGAAATGGGGTGACAACAAGAGGAGAGACAGCACTCCCGAAGGCCATCATCAGCTGACTCCCTAGGAATACCACGCGACTCTCCTTTCCCCATAATCTGATGATATCCGTCGCAGTACCTGTTTTGACGAAGGGAAAGATACATTTCAGTTAGAAAATGATATAGTCATATTATCGATCTCGTGTCACCGTCTTGGTACATGTAAATGAATTATTGGATTTGCATATCCTGTAGGAATTCCAAAATATTTGAAATAACATAGGTGATCTAACAAATATTGATATCTAAAACAAAGCTAACTTAGCGTCGCATCTAAAAATATCTTGCACACTTTCATCTCAATATAATGTGTATCTTAAGTAGTTTATTTTAACCAAGGGCACATCATTTAAGTAAAAAGCGCCCACCTACTGAAAACGAAAATAAGGTATAGTCGGCAGAGCCATTTAAGATCATTTTGGGATAACCTGCGCGTGATGTGGCAAGCTTTGGGTCGTCACCATATGTGAATCTGGCTGTTTTTTTTATTTATCAATACACCACTGTATACCAACTGCGGACTTGATTTTAGATACGGAATGCAATAATTATAAATGTACAATAAAGCAAAGTATTGCAAGACAATCCATAGTCTCCCACCGGTATTGATTTCCATATTTAACAAACAGTACACTTATGTAAGGAAGCATAAGGTCACACAGGTCATTGTGACCTACTTCTTGCACTCAGTCATCCCAAGATGCCATTGTACACCAAATCAGGTTACTCCAGGTTAAATAGTATAGAAGAAATGCCCTGGACAAACATTATCAAAAGTAAAGGTCAAAGGTCAAGTCATAGGTCACAGTGACCTTGTTCTTGCACTCTGCACTTTGCCATCCAAAGATGTCCTTGTTCACGGACGGACGGAGCCCCCCCCCCCCCTTATATGTAAGGACTTAAATTTTGGCATGTGTTGCAGTGTCTTTATCAATTATAAAATGCGTACATATCGCTATTTGGTTGAACATTGGCCATTTTGAAGGAAATTAACTAAACATTTTTATTTTTTTTTGCTTTCGCATGCAACAAACAAATACATATTTGACGATGCTTTAACACAGTGTTCAGTCGTAGAAAGGAATTTTTGTTTGTCACAAGCGGAGGCTTTCATTTCTGCATGCTTACTGTCCAAAAACACCATGGTTTGTCTATTTCTGCATAGCAACGAATCGTATGGCATCTACGCCTGCGCATTGATAAAAAATATGCACCAAGAAAGAAAGCCCGGATTAACCAATATGATGTTTATAACAGAAATTGGTAAATACATTCAAGTTGAAGTGTTTACTTTTAATGAAGCCAAAAATGACCCTCAAAGCCCCAAACTTGTATAGATATGTTTACAGATTTGTGTGTTTGTTTGGGGTTTGACATCCCCACAACAGATAAGGTCATACCAACACCGATTTCTAGGGGAACTCTCCCAAAGAAGAGTGTAGGTAACAGAAAAAGGAGAATACAGATCTCAAGTGTTGCCATGGGTGAGGCAGAACAATTCTGGTCCCTTCAAAGTCCTCTACATAGAAGACACCGAAGTAAACCTGATTCTGCAAGGGATCAGATGACACATGTCATCTCTCACAACAGCGGGCCCCACACATGTCATCCCTCACGACAGGGAATCCTTCACATGTCTTCCTTTCACTACGAGGGGCCCACACGTGTCACCCCTCACGACAGGGAATCCTTCACATGTCACCCTTTCACTACAGGGGGCCCTTCACATGTCTTCCTTTCACTACGAGGGGCCCCCACGTGTCACCCCTCACGACAGGGAATCCTTCACATGTCCCCCTTTCACTACGAGGGGCCCCACACGTGTCACCTATCACGACAGGGAACCCTTCACATGTCACCCCTTCACTACAGGGGGCCCCACACATGCCATCCCTCATAACAGCGGGCCCCACACATGTCATCCCTCACGACAGGTAATCCTTCACATGTCTTCCTTTCACTACGAGGGGCCCACACGTGTCCCCCCTCACGACAGGGAATCCTTCAAATGTCACCCTTTCACTACGAGGGGCCCCACACGTGTCACCTATCACGACAGGGAACCCTTCACATGTCACCCACCCTTTCACTACGAGGGGCCCCACACGTGTCACCTATCACGACAGGGAACCCTTCACATGTCACCCTTTCACTACGAGGGGCCCACACGTGTCACCCCTCAAGACAGGGAATCCTTCACATGTCACCCTTTCACTACAGGGGGCCCTTCACATGTCTTCCTTTCACTACGAGGGGCCCCCACGTGTCACCCCTCACGACAGGGAATCCTTCACATGTCCCCCTTTCACTACGATGGGCCCCACACGTGTCACCCCTCACGACAGGGAATCCTTCCCATGTCACCCTTTCACTACGAGGGGCCCCACACATGTCACCTATCACGACAGGGAACCCTTCACATGTCACCCACCCTTTCACTACGAGGGGCCCCACACGTGTCACCTATCACGACAGGGAACCCTTCACATGTCACCCTTTCACTACAGGGGGCCCCACACATGTCATCTCTCACAACAGCGCGCCCCACACATGTCATCCCTCACGACAGGGAATCCTTCACATGTCTCCTTTTCTCTACGAGGGGCCCACACGTGTCACCCCTCACGACAGGGAATCCTTCCCATGTCACCCTTTCACTACGAGGGGCCCCACACATGTCACCTATCACGACAGGGAACCCTTCACATGTCACCCTTTCACTACAGGGGGCCCTTCACATGTCTTCCTTTCACTACGAGGGGCCCACACGTGTCACCCCTCAAGACAGGGAATCCTTCACATGTCACCCTTTCACTACAGGGGGCCCTTCACATGTCTTCCTTTCACTACGAGGGGCCCACACGTGTCCCCCCTCACGACAGGGAATCCTTCCCATGTCACCCTTTCACTACGAGGGGCCCCACACGTGTCACCTATCACGACAGGGAACCCTTCACATGTCACCCCTTCACTACAGGGGGCCCCACACATGCCATCCCTCATAACAGCGGGCCCCACACATGTCATCCCTCACGACAGGGAATCCTGCACATGTCACCCTTTCACTACGAGGGGCCCCACACATGTCACCTATCACGACAGGGAACCCTTCACATGTCACCCTTTCACTACGAGGGGCCCCACACATGTCACCTATCACGACAGGGAACCCTTCACATGTCACCCTTTCACTACGAGGGGCCCCACACATGTCACCTATCACGACAGGGAACCCTTCACATGTCACCCTTTCACTGGGAATCCTTCACATGTCTTCCTTTCACTACGAGGGGCCCACACGTGTCCCCCCTCACGACAGGGAATCCTTCACATGTCCCCCTTTCACTACGATGGGCCCCACACGTGTCACCCCTCACGACAGGGAATCTTTCACATGTCACCCTTTCACTACGAGGGGCCCCACACGTGTCACCTCTCACTACAGGGAACCCTTTCACATGTCACCCCTCACGACAGGGAATCCTTCACATGTCACCCTTTCACTACAGGGGGCCCCACACATGTCACCTCTCACGACAGGGGGCCCCCATACATGTCACCTCTCACTACAGGGAACCCCTTCACATGTCACCCCTCACGACAGGGAATCCTTCACATGTCATCCTTTCACTACGAGGGGCCCCACACGTGTCACCTATCACGACAGGGAACCCTTCACATGTCACCATTTCACTACAGGGGGCCCGACACATGTCTCCTCTCACGACAGGGGGCCCCAAACATGTCACCTCTGACGACAGGGGGCCCCAAACATGTCATCTCTCACGACAGGGGGCCCCATACATGTCATCTCTCAAGACAGGGGGCCCCACACATGTCACCACACACAGTGATTGACCCAGGGGTGTTGCCCTAGTTGCCCGCGCAGCACCTTTTTTCTGTGTCAAAAAATAATCTGGACCAAGGTTTTCGAAGATTTTCCTCTATTTCACATGTCACCCTTTCACTACGAGGGGCCCCACACGAGTCACCTATCACGACAGGGAACCCTTCACATTTCACCCTTTCACTACAGGGGGCCCCACACATGTCATCTCTCAGGACAGGGGGCCCCACACATGTCCCCTCTCACGACAGGGGGCCCCCATAACTGTGACCTCTCACTACACGGAACCCCTTCACATGTCACCCCTCACGACAGGGAATCCTTCACATGTCATCCTTGCACTACGAGGGGCCCCACACGTGTCACCTATCACGACCGGGAACCCTTCACATGTCACCCTTTCCCTACAGGGGCCCCGACACATGTCTCCTCTCACGACAGGGGGCCCCAAACATGTCACCTCTCACGACAGGGGGCCCCAAACATGTCATCTCTCACGACAGGGGGCCCCATACATGTCATCTCTCAAGACAGGGGGCCCAACACATGTCACCACACACAGTGGTTGACCCAGGGGTGTTGCCCTAGTTGCCCGTGCAACACCTTTTTTCTGTGTCAAAAAATAATCTGGACCAAGGTTTTTGAAGATTTTCCTCTATTTCATATGTCAGCAGTTTGAAAATCTATATATGCCTAAGGGTGTTGCTTGCCCAAAGAAGGGGTCCACTACTTATTCTCTAAACAAAAGGGGATTAATCCTCTATTGTCTATATATTAGTAGGGTCTCCAGTCAGGTCAGTGGTCAAGGCTCACCAGACTGACTACCTAATGTCACGGTGTGGTGATCACCCTGTCAGTTGAGAGAGGACTATGCATATATATGCCATCTGTTGGAACTAGGTATATAGGTAAAGTGTTATTTCAAAGGTAGAGTCCATTTCATGATTAAAGACAAACAGTTAAATCATAATTCATATTTATGACTAAATAAATCAATATTTAATTGCCAAAATGCTCGCCTAAACTACAAGCACATGAGGGGCATGACACAAGCATCAACATTATAACCAAAAACCTACATTTTTAGCATTTTTTTGTTAGCATGTTCTTTTCAAATTTGGTACATGTATATAGGTATATTGAGAAAATGCAAATTCTATCTCGACACCGTTTCTTGATCGGAAAAGATGGACACCGTATTCTTGCATCTGATTTGTCGAGATTTAGATATTGTTCATTCTGATCAAATTTGGGGAAAATAAGTGTATTATGGCACTGCAAATTCCACTGTGACTTTTATTTCTTCATTAATTACCTCTATTACCTGGCTTCTGCTTGGTCAAAATTTAAACCGGTTTCGTTTAAACTTCAAGTGCATGTGTATTTCGCCAATACAAAGAGTACAACAGTATCCGTAAGCTTTATTTACGAAAGCATGGGTAGTTTTGAGGATTTTGGTAACGGCCGTCAGAGAACTTGGTAATTATTGATATCTCTTATTCATTTACATGTACGACATTTCTGCACCTGACTCATGCAAAGCATATTGACACATATCTTCTGCCATATATTAGTGGGATATAGGTTTGTTCGCATCTATTTGTTATCTCACTACAAATTTAAATATTCGGCATTCTAATCTTATTGTTAATATAAGTATTACTCATTAAGTGACGTATATGTAACATTTGCTATTCTGTTTTAACGATACGCTGTGGATAATAAATACCTATATAAGGATTATGTGATTTAAACATTAATTGTATATCGCCATTCCTACCTATTGACGTAGGTATGATATTTACCTGATGCTAATATCCCCTGCATTAGACCAATGACAGCATGTGCAAAAACCATGGTTTCGAACATTTTGCACCAAGGCACGAAGGCAGTAGCAACACAGTACACACATATGGCCATTCCAAACGTCAACTTGTTGTTAGCTCGACCGTACAGAACTCCCTGTAAAATCGATCCTAAGGCGAAACCAATTAAATTCGACGTTAGAATCCAGGCCCCTTGATCAAGATCTGTTCCACTTATCATTCGAATGTCTATATAGGATGGTCCAAACAGTCCTTTACCCCATCCCTGAAATATAATCATAATATACCAATAATGTCCCTAAATATAAACACGAATAAAATGTAGTACATTATTCACTTAGAGATATACAAATTTCCATCAAATATCATTTTTACATGTAATAAACGAAATTCCTAGCCAATGCTAAATCACGAATTATATTTTAAACACATCATTTACAGATAGACGTACAAGCTACACAAGATCTATCTTACTGAATAGCGCTTTAATTTCAGGGGGTTCCTAGAACATATTCCAGAATGGATACATTTCATGAGATTCATAGAAGAAATTTCTTGGCTTTCTCGAAATACGTTGTAAATCAGTCAACCATTTGAAAGAAGATTCGACTATTTAGGGTTTTGCGAATAAATATATACATCTTCGGATGATATATATATTTTTTCGCAAAACCGTAAATAGTCGATTTGTCTTTTAAATAGTTGACAGATATATATATTTTTTTCGCAAAACCTTGAATATTCGATATTTCTTTCAAATGGTTGACTGATTAACAAGGGCTCTGGAAAATTGATATTATAACCAAATATTTTCGAATAACAGAGAAAATTTAAATATCATTGTGCCATCGGGAACATGTAAGTAATAAAAGGCAATCATTCATATCTAGGTCAACCTAGATTTAAATCGCAATCAGCATAGCGAGCTGGGGGACTCGTTGTTGTTGTTGTACTTCAGTGAAGTGATTATATTATTAAATTGACATAAACATATAGAGTGTTACAAAGTGTCCTATAAAATACTAAAATACTTACATGGATAAATTTACAAAAGAAAAGGCAAATAGTATACATAATTTTCCGGCGGAATAGGCTGCTGGTCTTGAATTTTCTCCGAGTACGTTGAAAGGATACCATGCACGAAGTTCCATCGTCCGTTGTACCTGTCTTACTATCCTCTTGTTCGTCTTTCACACACTCTTCAAGGTCATTGCTAAGTATCTCGGATGGAATACTGTTGTCTATGCTGACATCATCATTTGGTATTTGATGACCTTTCTCTAGTTCCGTTTTTGTTTCCATTTTCGTCGTTCATAAGCAGCTGAAAGAAATATTTCAAACAATGATTAACAGTATGAAACTGCTGGTAGGACAACTCATATTGAATTACAAAGAAAATACAACACTTACCATACTTACGGATACTTTGTAAGTGACACTTTTTGTTTGAACGGTGCTAGCCCGACGGAAGGGACATTTACCATGGTGATATGATCGTTTTGCTTGTTACATGATGTCACATAGAACACTGATGTCGTGAAAATAACATTGATCATACATAAAGCCGAATATATTAAAAATATATGTCCAACTTTATTATTTATGTTAAGAAGTTAAAATACTGCAACACACCTGCACGGGACATAACAATATCGGAACTGGATCCGGTTTAGATAAAGTAACTTAAATGTTCTTATTACTTTGTTATAACTATCCGTAAAGGATTTAAACAGTTTGCATGCTGCTGTACTAACGTATAAGTAAAACTTACAATAAACCGCTGTGCAGTATCCTGTCCAAGCGTTAACCTTCTCCTTTCTTTGTATGCCACAGTGATCCGTTCACACAGGACGAACCTCCTTTGTTGTAGGCCTCGTGTTGTGTCCGTGTGTACACTGTTAAATGTCACGGTTACCTGTTTATAACGATTGGTTAGTTTACACTGACTAAACTGCTGATACCCAGGACGTGAGCAAAGTGTCCTATACTCTTAACGTCATATATTACACTATTTGGTGAAGACGTTTACCATTTGATATCTTGCTTTTTTCCATCTCGCATATCAATAAGCCCCTTCTGTAATATGGAAGGGGATCACCGCCATAATTATTTTTTATAGAATTAGTTACTTCTGGTTTGGAATCTAATTCTATGTACATTTGTATTATTTCCCTAGTTGATAAGTTATAGAATTAGTTACTTCTGGTTTTGAATCTAATTCTATGTTCATTTGTATTGTTTCACTCGTTTACAAATCTATTGCGTGTTCATTCCATGCTATGCTAGTTTTTCCGATCGCAATTTCGACATCGTTTATGACTGGAGCGCCGCTTGTCGTCTTAATGAGGAACTAAAATTCTAGAATGAATTCTAGAATGAATTCTAGAATTTTAGTTCTCATTAAGACAACAGCCGGCGCTTAAATCGCCAACGAAATTCGCGGAAAATAATGCTCGCTCCCTTAAACCGGAAACATACCCGATTGTGGCAGTAGATTTTGGAATGCAGTCGACAGTAGTGCGGTAAGTCTTGGTTATGACAGCAATTGAACTGTAATCTATTTAGGTTTGAGCCAAAATTGTTTGTATCGTAGCAGAAAATCGTCATATTTATAGTTAGGATGCCGTAGCCATAACGAAATCCCACAAGTATTTGGTAACTGGCAAAATGTTAACCCTGCACACAGGGGTTCGTTACAAATGCATGTCTGAAATACAGAAGTGATATTGGTGCTGTCATAGCTTGACAAAGGGACAAGTAGGTCTTGGAAGGTTGCGACACGTTTAATACGTTGTGTATAAAGTAAAACTTTGATATCAAGTATCCAATCACAAGTGTTTGAAATCTGACTGTAAATTGAGATAAAAATCATATAAAAAATAAGGATATTAGGCTAGTCTACTACCAAAAAAGTAGCAATACCCTTATGTTTTATATGATTTTTATCTCAATATTTACAGTAAGGATTTCAAATACCTCGGAACCATATGTACATTTTTTTCCTGTTCATGCTTCATAATTAATTTTGATAAATTTGAGAAGTGGATGCAAATTTCATATTCAGAACAGCATACAGTGATCAGCTAATTAAAACTAACCACCTGAAATTAGCATAAAAATCAAGATTTAAATTTTCTACTGTTATTAAATGATGACATCATATTCAATCAAGTATGCCTCATTTGAGGAAAATGTGCATAACCCTGGCCTGCCCATATGCATTTGTTGCAGATGTCATATTAAAACTTGTCTCATATAGGAGATGATAAATCTATAGCTATAGTTCATGGGAACAGTGGTTATTGAGTGATATTGGATGTCAATATTGTTGACCAATTATCAAACATATCTT